AGGTGCAAACCATTCATAAGCCTGAAAAAATGGAAAAGCCAGATTAGACTTTGCCAAAAAAAATCTAAAAAACATCAGACCTGTTCTGGAAAAGCATTCTTTGGACGGATGAAACGAAGATTAATCTGTAACAGAATGATGGGAAGAAAAAAAAGTGTGGAGAAGGCTTGGAACCAAAGTATACAACATCATCTGTAAAACATAGTGGAGGCAGTGTGATGGCATGGGCATGCATGGCTTCCAGTGGCACTGGGTCATTTGTGTTTATTGATGATGTGACAGAAGCAGCCGGATGAATTCTGCAGTGTTTACAGATATACTCTCAGTCCAGATTCGGCCAACTTCAGAAAAGTTGATTGGACGGCGCTTCACAGTACAGATGGACAGTTATCCAAAACACACTGCAAAAGCAATGGAGGACATTTTGAAGGAAAAGAAGTGAAATATTCTGCAACGGCCAAGTCAATCACCTGATCTCCATTGAGCATGCATTTCACTTGCTGAAGGGAAAACTAAAGGCAGAAAGAGCCACAAAGAACAACTGAAGACAGCTGCAGTTAGAGCCTGGCAAAGCATCAGAAAGGAGGAAACCCAGTCTTTGGTACTGTCTATGGGTTCCAGACTTCAGGCAGTCATTGCCAGTAAAGGATTGTCAACAAAATATTAAAAATGAACATTTTATTTATGATTATATTCAATTGTCCAATTACTTTTGGTCCCTTGAAAAAGGGGGTGGGGTGGTGAATAATCTTAAGAACTGTAATTCCTAAACTCTTCCTCCAATTTGGATGTACATACCCTCAAATTAAACCTGAGAGCGTGCACTTTCAGCCCAGATCCATTATATACCTATAGCTTGAATAAGTTTTGGTAAACACCTGAAAAACCTAAAATTGTGGTTGTGTCCAAAATATATATCACATACATATACACATACACTTTTTCTTTCTCCTCAGAACATGAGGACAAGAGATACTTTGCATCAGTGTGGGGACGTTCTGTAGGGGAGGAAAGATGTTGGTTAATAAATATAAATTTATAGGTCCTGATCACTAGTGTCAGAGTTAGTATTAGACCTGGTTCACACTGAATACGAGTTTTAAAATCGTTCAACTTCAGGTGCGTCTTGTAAGACATCTGTGCAACTTCCTGCACAGATGTCTATGCAAGTCACATCTGAAATTACAAAAAATTGTGCAGGAACCTTTTTTCAAATCAGTGCGGCACAGCAAAACTTGAGTCGCACTGATCACTGATTTGACCGGTTCTATTGCTGACAATAAGGTGCTACTTGAAACTTCAAATCACATGACAAGTTGCACTGATGTAAAAAGGGGCTTAGTGTCAGTTTCAATGTTTATGTTCCTTTCAGCTTTCGTTTCAGTAAAAAAAATAAAGGTTTTTAATTATTGTGTAGCGTGCAGTCTGTGGCATGCATGTGATTGTGGGCCTATGTAATGTCACAAGGGCATCGATGAAAAGGCATATGCCCTACTGTGCTCAGATAGTGAAACTAAAGAATCTCTGGCTTTTGCCAGTGACAGTGTGAGTGTCGCATGAAGGCGAAGCATGGAGCGGAGAGCCTGTAAGGATATCCGTGGGATCTTACACCCTCTAAATCCCAAAATTTATGGCTTTACCAGGCTTATATATTCATGCCACAAATTTTGTTCCTGTGATTTTTTTTTTAGGATATTTGTGACAATTGTTACACCAGTGTGCCATTTTTAGATCTCTGCAAGCTGCTGGTTTTCAAAGATTTCCAACAGCAGCTAGTGTGGCAGAATCTGTAGAGAGGCACATCACTCAGCTACCAACAGAAGAGAACAAGTGGTGGTCAAATTCAGATAGAAAAGATGTCTATAAGCTGAAGGCCATCCACCCAGAGCACACAGTTGCTCTAATGGGACAGGAGTCAGCTAAACCAAAGGAAAGTCTGCTATGTGTTAATGTATTTGACAAGTACATAGGTTAAGCTCTCTGAACAGGCCTTGTAGCCCTATCTGGTTAAGTGGTAAACTATATTTTCCTGGCAGAAAAACATTGCAGTATACCTCATCTATGTGGCCCTGCACAAATCATTTGTACTTTACAAAAAAAATCCTCTGGTACTGACACTTTCTTGAAGTTGCAGGAAAAAAAAATGTTAGAATATCTAAGGCATTACAAAAAGGAGACTTAAAAGAAACACATTTTGTTTGTGTCCCATTCTCTCCACATTAACTACCATGTTACACATGCATTGTTGTTGTTTGCCTTTCAATATTTTTTTCCTTTCCTCATTCTGTAGCTGGGAGATGATGCTCTATGTAGTTAGTTCCACCCTTCTTGCTTAGTCTCCATTCACCACATGTGCCGTATTCTGCCAGAACTAGGCACACTACGATTTTTGACCTGATGTTCATCTGTTAATAACGTCACATTTCTGGATTAAAGGTTTCTATCATCTGCAGGATGTCATTTGGATTGAGTCACTGTCTGCCAAGCTACTGAGACTGTAAATTAAGCTATCTCACCATGATTGAATCAGTTATAAAGCTCACATTGCAGTGTTGGAAGCATATTATGGAAGCACAATATTAAACAAAAGAAACCCAAGGGAAAGGTGTCAAGTGTGCAGAAAAATTGTGAAGAGATGTGATATCATTGTCCCAACCTGTCTCTCCAACCCAGGTATCTGCATCCACTCCTGTTAATAAATTTACCACAAAGTATCACATTATTGGAAACCAGAAAAAGTAAAATCCAAAAGGGGTTGGTAACTTTTGTCTTGTATGCCCTTTTATTTACTTTCCTACACAATTAGTATAGAGCAAAAGGTTTACACAGCACTTTGCAAGGGTTTTGTTAAATTAAATTCTTAAATAGTAACATTACACTGCAGAGTATCTGTAATGTATGTATGGTACCTGATATTTAGATTTGGATTAAAGTATAACAATACTTTTAATTTTGGATAGAATGGAAAGGGACTAGAGCCCCTGTCAGGATTTAATTGCTGTCCGTGTCCCCATTTGGGAGATTCTCCCTTTCTATTTGTCCTGTTTGTTGTTATCACTGAGAGTGAAAGGGAAAGAAAATCCCAAGTCTGGATTGTCACCAAATCTTCCAATCCGGACACAAGTTTTGGTGACAACCAGAGATTCCCTCATTTTGAAGGGATTTCCTCTCACATTCTGTTTTGGCTATGGGACAGGAACACAGGGAAATCACCACACGGAAAAAAAAAAAAAAATTAAACCTGACAGGGGTTATAACCCTCCCTAAAGGTGGATATACACAGTTTTTATTCATTCAACCAGCAGGTTGAAAAAAAAAAAAAATATATATATGTCCTCGCAGCAACACAAGCGATGTTGATGCTGGGATCCCCGATGAGGGGACTTGGGGAACTTCCCCCATTCCTGCCACAATACACTGAAGGCTGTAAGTACTGATTGAATGCTGGTTTTCCAACATGACCGTTTGACAGATGCCAGTTGTTACACTGGCTTCTGTTAAAAACAGAAGAGTGCACACAGACAGAAAGTTCGGTACGTGTTTACTTGGCTTTACTCTGGCCAAAAAAAAAAAAAAAAAAAAAAAAAAAAAAGTTTGCCTTTAGTTTTATTTTAAATGTTCTCTCATAATGCACACTATTGTTTCTGACCTCCTCTATGGGTACAAACAACATGCATATTGTATCTGCACAACAGGAGTAAAGAATGTATTTTGGGTGGAGAGTCATGGTAATGCACCAAGTATACAGCTAAAATTAAAACTTTTGTGAGAAAAAAATTACATTTTAATTATTTTCCATCAAGTTCAAAAACAGAGTATTAAAAGCTAAGCTGTACCCCTAGATAAATGCTTTGGGGGTCTTGATTCCAAGGTGAAGTCATTTGGTAGATGAATCCATCATTTAGACACAACAAAATGTCTTATCAAAGCGTGATGCTTGAAAATTAAACCTGGCCTTGCTGCCTTCTCAAAGGCAACAATGTGCAATTTTGTTTCTTGGTCCTACTACTAATACACAGACATGTGGTATCCCCAAATATGTCAAAAGTAGAGAGAATTTATCTTGAGTTTTTTTAGTGGTGGGTCATGGCAATGGCAAGAAATACACAGCCAAATAAAAAAAATATATATTTTTACCATTCTGGGGCAGTTTTTCTTTGATAATGAAACAATAGAAGTTATCCATTAACGTTAACCTCCATATGAAAAAATAAAAGGTATAATTCACCTGGATACACAAAAGAGATTGCAAAGATATGTACAGTCGAAGCCAAAACTTCATGTTAAAAAAATAAATTAAAAAAAAAAGGAAAACTGCAAAATTTGTTAAAAATATGTGCTAGCTAGAAATACTCAAATTATCTTGAATGACTCCACATACACAAAATGATCCTGGGGAATACACAGTCTAAGGCCTCATGCACACTGCAGCTCAAAGAAGCTTATAGGAGTCAATAGGAGTCTTAGCTGTTTTGAGCTTTTATTTTTCTTTGCCTGTCACTTCCACTTCATGTTAGCCTATGTGTCCATGCACACTATAGGCAAATTCAGGAGTTTAGTGGCAGGGGAGTATACAGGCAGAAAAAAAAAAAAAAAAAAAAAAAAAAAAAAAAAAAAAAAAACCTTCACTTGTGCGGTCAGAAGAGGAGCATTTGAACATAAAAAAAACCCACACAAAAGTGAAAAAATGCACAAAAGCACGAGCATGAAAGCGTATTGTCATGCAATAATGCGCAGTCTCACGTTTATGCTTTCAAAAGGCCAGAGTTCTGGCCAATAATATGCATTAATGCCAGGTGTGGGAATATGCATGCAAAATAGCAGCTTTTTACAGCGTTTTTGATACTGAAAACTCCTGTAGGGGAAAAAAAAGTTTTTGAGCTTCACAGTGTGCATGATGCCTATGCTGTCCATCTGTAATATAAGTAAATACAGTATGTGTTCTTCTGGCTGACGTTTTGTAATGGCTTTATATTTTTCTGATGTGTGCCTTTGCTTACCGAGCCTGCTATTTTTCTGGTGGTTTTCATTGTAGTGCTTTTGAATCTTCTGAAAAACTCTGATTCTTCAAATTTCCGCAGCCTGATCATCTGCAAACAGCCTTCTGCATCTATCTGGAAAAACTGAAATGAAGTAAAAGGTTCAATTCTTGTTTTTTTCACTGATTTTCCAGTATTATAGGAAAAGACGTCTAATCTTCCATTTTAGCAGGAATTCATTTGAGACCTCTTCAAAAAATCTACAGCTTATTGTAGCTTTATTTACAATTAAGTTTGTATAACTGGGAAATATATTTCCTTAAAAACAGCTGACTTCCAGCCTGAACATTGGCATCTGTAACTTTTAGGGCTGAAACAACTAAATCAACAATCGATTATAACGGATTATGAAAATAGTTGTCAACTATTTTCATTATAAATTAGTTGGTAAGCCGATTAGTTAGCCAGAATACAGAATGCATTATTTGTTTACAAATCAGAAAATACATTGCAGCACTCATACAGCTCAGTACACCATCCACACTTGTCAGTAAGTGCTTGAGAACTTGTGAGTGTAAATGTGTGAGGAGCAATGCCTCAAGGGACATGTAGTCCTAGGCAAGAGAAGGAAGTGATTTAAAGTGATTCTAAGGCAGAATTTTTTTTAACCCTGCTATAGGAGTACTCTGTACTATACTTTGCGGCTTGCTATAGGGGCACTCTAAAGGCAGGAGGAACCAGAGGTGGGGGACCCCAGAAGAGGTGAATCAGGGCTTCCCTTGTCAAAACCATTGACAAGTTTGGTATTAAAAAAACAGAACAACTTTTACAATCACTTTAATGGCATGTGACAGGCAGATCAACATCTGAACCCAGAGAAGCTGAAGGCTGATAGACTGGAGAAAATATAAGGCATTACAATGAAATTTAAAGTAAACTTATTAGTATTGTGCATTATATTTAAAATGATCATACAAAAAAGTCTCAGCCTTTAGTACTACTTTAACATAAAATATTTATATTAGGGCTCAAACAACTAATCTACATAAATTGATGAAAATAGATGCCAAATACTTTCATAATCGATTAGTTGGTCAGCCGATTAGTTGGCCTGCAACAGAATGCATTATTTGTTTACATATCAGATACTACCATGCAGCACTCATACATGTCAGTATACACAGCGCAGCACACATACAGAAAATATTTTGCGGATTGCTATAGGGGCACTCTGAAGACAGGAGGAGCCAGATGCGCCGGTAGGGGATTCCAAAAGAGGAGGATCGGGGCTGTTCTGTGCAAAACCATTACAGAAAAGGTAAAGTATAACATGTTTGTTGTTTAGCCACTTCAATACTGGACACTTTCACCCCCTTCCTGCCCAGGCCAATTTTCAGCTTTCAGCGCTGTCGCACTTTGAATGAAAATTGAGCGGTCATGCAACATTGTACCCATATGAAATTTTTACCATTTTTTTCAGGACAGATAGAGGTTTCTTTTGGTGGTATTTAATCACCAAAGCATTTATTTTTTGCTAAACAAATGAAAAAAGACCACAAATTTTGATTATTATTATAATTATTACTTTCACACGGTTTCACGTTATAAAATGAACCCCTTATAATAGTGATTAGCTGCTGTTTTGGTACTATAAAAGGGCTAAATTTTGTTTTTGTAACCCCATCATGACAGGTGATAAAAAAAGCATGTTTCTGCTACTAAATATCTTATGCTGGTCATACACGTGTTGATTTTTGGACGAGATTATTTGTATGAATTTTTGTATGAAACTGCTTTGTACATTCAGTGAATGAATTAATGTTGTTCAAAAATTTCAATTAATTTTAAAATTAATGTAATTTCGGAATGAAAACCACATACACTGTCCGAAATTTAAATTTTTTTGAGAAACGTTTTTTTTATTTTGCCGCTTTGAATTTTCCCATCACTGTAGTAAAAAAAAAAACATCGATTGGACCTCACAATTAGATTAGAAAATCGGACAAATGTTCTTAAAAATGAAAAGTTTAGAAGAAAAAAATGTGTTTGTGCATGGCCAGCATGAAGCTGGGTACACACATTCCAAATGTCCGAAGGAACTGGCCAACAATCGGACCATATGTATAGCTGTCCTTCCAACAGATGCCAGGACCGGCTGCTGTTGAAGAGACTTGCTGGAAAACTAGCATTCAATCACTGCTCGCAGCCAATGTGATATTCTAATAATCTCAGAGTGAATTAGATATTTTGTTCCCTAGCCATATAGCTGGTTTATTATATTTACTACTGCATATAGATATTGAAGAATAAATTGTCTTTTCTTTTTTTAAACTTTATATATGAACTAAAATTATACACCACACTTTTTTATCCAATTAATTGATTAGTCAAAACAATAACCGGCCAATTAATCGATTATGAAATACTTAGTTGCAGCTCTAATTTACAGTGGGGAAAATAATTATTTGATCCCCTGCAGATTTTTTGTTTGCCCACTTACAAAGAAATGAAGAGTCTATAATTTTTTTTATCATAGATGTCTTTTGATAGAGACAGAATATCAACCACAAATCCAGAAAAAAAACAATGAACTGCAACTCAATTTATAACATTTGTATCATGTGTGTGAGTAAATTAAGTATTTGATCCCCTACCAACAATAATTCTGGCTCCCACAGACTGGCTATGTGCTCATGTGGTACCCAAATTAGTCCTGTCAATTTAAGAAGGTGCTCATAAACAACTCGTTAAGTGTATAAAAAGACATCTGTCCAAGGAATCTCTTTCTTCCTTCAAACCTCATCATCATGGGCAAGACCAAAGAGCTGTCAAAGGACATAACGGACAAGATTGTACACCTGCACAAGGCTGCAGTGGGCTGCAAGACCATGAGCAAGAAGCTTGGGGAGAAGGAGACAACTGTTGGAGTGATTATTCGCAAATGGAATAAATACAAAATAGCTGTCAATTGCCCACGGTCTGGAGCTCCATGCAAGATTTTGCTTCATGGGGTAAGGATGATCATGAAAAAAGTGAGGGATCAGCCCAGAACTATACAGGAGGAGCTTGTGAATGCTCTCAAGGCAGTTGGGACCACAGTGATCAAACAAACCATTGATAACATAACATGACGCCATGGATTGAACTCCTGCAGCACCCGCAAGGTCCCTTTCCTCAAGAAGGCACATGTACAGGCCCATCTGAAGTTTGCAAATTAACATTTAAATGATTCAGAGAAGAATTGGGAGAAAGTGCTGTGGTCAGATGAGACCAAAATTTAGCTCTTTGGCATTAACTCGACTCGCTGTGTTTTGGGGAAGAAAAATGCTGACTATGACCCTAAGAACACCATCCCTACAATCAAGCATGGAGGTGGAAAACATTATACTTTGGGGCTGTTTCTCTGCTAAAAAGGTACAGGGCGACTTTGCTGCATTGAGGGGCCAATGAATGGGGCCATGTATTGTAAAATCTTGGGATGAGAAACTTCTTCCCTCCAGCATGACAATGACCCAAAACATACTGCCAAGGCAACAAAGGAGTGGCTCAAGAAGAGGAACATTAAAAAGTCATGAGGTGGCCTAGCCAGTCTCCAGACCTTAATCCTATAGAAAATTTATGGAGGGAGCTGAAACTTCGAGTTGCCAAGTGACAGCCAAGAAACCTTAAGGATTTAGAAAAGATCTGTACACAAAAGTGGACCAAAGTCCCTACTGAGTTGTGTGCAAACCTGGTAATACAACTACAAGAAACATCTTACCTCTGTGCTTGTCAGTAAGGATTTCTCCACCAAGTACTACAGTGAGGAACAGAAGTATTTGAACACCCTGCGATTTTGCAATTTTGCATAGTTCTCCACTTAGAAATCATGGAAGGGTCTGAAATTCACATTGTAGGTGCATTCCCACTCTGAGAGACAGAATTTTTAAAAAAAAATTCAGGAAATCACATTGTATGATTTTTAAAGAATTTATTTGTCTTGCACTGCTGAACATAAGTATTTGAACACCTGAGAAAATCAGTGTTAAAATATTTGGTACAGAAGCCTTTGTTTGCAATTACAGAGGTCAAACATTTCCTGTAGTTCTTGACCAGGTTTGCACACACTGCAACAAGGATTTTGGCCCACTCCTCCACATAGATCTCACCTACAGTCATGGCCGAAATTGTTGGCACCCTTGATATTTTTCCTGAAAATCAAGTATTTCACACAAAAAAGGTATTGCATTAACACATGTTTTGCTATACACATGTTTATTCCCTTTGTATGTATTGGAACAAATATAAAACAGAGGGCAGAAAAGCAAATATGACATAATGTCACACAAAACCCCAAAAATGGGCTGGACAAAAGTATTGGCACACCCTTAACTTAATATTTGGTTGCACACCCTTTGGAAAACATAACTGAAATCAGTCGCTTCCTATAACCATCAATAAGCTTCTGACACCTCTCACCCGGAATTTGGACCACTCTTCCTTTGCAAACAGCTCCAGGTCTCTCTTATTGGAAGGACACCTTTTCCCAACAGCAATTTTAAGATCTCTCCACAGGTGTTCAATGGGATTTAGATCTGGGCTCATTGCTGGCCACTTCAGAACTCTCCAGCGCTTCTTTGCCATCCATTTCTGAGTGCTTTTTGACGTATGTTTGGGGTCATTGTCCTGCTGGAAGACCCAGGATCTTGGACGCAAACCCAGCTTTCTGACACTGGGCCCTACAGTGCGACCCAAAATCCTTTGGTAATCCTCAGATTTCATGATGCCTTGCACACAGTCAAGGCACCCAGTGCCAGAGGCAGCAAAAACAACCCCAAAACATCATTGAACCTTCCACCATATTTTACCGTAGGTACTGTGTTTTGTTCTTTGTAGGCCTCATTCCGTTTTTTCGGTAAACAGTAGAATGATGTGCTTTACCGAAAAGCTCTATCTTGGTCTCATCTGTCCACAAGACGTTTTCCCAGAAGGCTTTTGGCTTACTCAAGTACATTTTGGCAAACTGTAGTCTTGCTTTTTTATGTCTCTGTGTCAGCAGTGGGGTCCTCCTGGGTCTCCTGCCATAGCGTTTCATTTCATTTAAATGTCGACGGATAGTTCGCGCTGACACTGATGCTCCCTGAGCCTGCAGGACAGCTTGAATGTCTTTTGGAACATGTTTGGGGCTGCTTTTCCACCATCCGGGACTATTCTGCGTTGCAATCTTTCATCAATTTTCCTCATCCGTCCACGACCAGGGAGATTAGCTACAGTGCCATGGGTTGCAAACTTCTTGATAATGTTGCGCACTGTGGACAAAGGCAAATCTAGTTCTCTGGAGATGGACTTGTAACCTTGAGATTGTTGATATTTTGCCACAATTTTGGTTCTCAGGTCCTCAGACAGTTCTCGTCTCCTCTTTCTGTTGTCCATGCTTAGTGTGGCACAGACAGACACACAATGCAAAGGTTAAGTGAACGTCTCTCCTTTTTATCTGCTTTCAGGTGTGATTTCTATATTGCCCACACCTGTTACTTGCCCCAGGTGAGTTTACAGGAGCATCACATGCTTGTAACATTCTTATTTATCCGCAGTTGTGAAAGGGTGCCAATACTTTTGTCCAGCCCATTTTTGGAGGTTTGTGTGACATTATGTCGAATTTGCTTTCTTTCCTCCCTTTTTTTGTTTTGTCCCAATACACACAAAGGGAATAAACATGTGTATAGCAAAACATGTGTTAATGCAATACGTTTCGTGAGAAATACATGATTTCCTGGAGAAATATCAAGGGTGCCAACAATTTCGGCCATGACTGTAGATCTGTCAGGTTTCGGGGCTGTCGCTGAGCAATACGGAGTTTCAGCTCCCTCCAAAGATGTTCTATTGGATTTAGGTCTGGAGACTGGCTAGGCCACTCCAGAACCTTAATACGCTTCTTATGGAGCCACTCCTTGGTTATCCTGGCTCTGTGCTTTGGGTCGTTGTCATGTTGGAAGACCCAGCCACGACCCATCTTCAATGCTCTGACTGAGGGAAGGAGGTTGTTGCTCAAAATCTCACAATAAATGGCCCCATTCATCCTCTCCTTAATACAGTGCAGTCGCCTGTCCCCTTCGCAGAAAAGCACCCCCAAAACATAATGTTACCACCCCCATGCTTCACAGTAGGGATGGTGTTCTTGGGATGCAACCCATCCTTCTTTTTCCTCCAAACACGACAAGTGAAGTTTAGACCAAAAAGTTCTACTTTGGTCTCATCTGACCACATGACTTTCTCCCATGCCTCCTCTGGATCATCCAGATGGTCACTGGCAAACTTCAGACGGGCCTGGACATGTGATGACTTCAGCAGGGGAACCTTCCGTGCAATGCATGATTTGAAACCATGACGGCGTAGTGTTCTACCGACAGTGACCTTTGAAACTGTGGTCCCAGCTCTCTTCATGTCATTGAACAGCTCCTCCCTTGTAGTTCTGGGCTGATTCCTCACCTTTCTTATCATCAGTGATACCCTACGAGGTGAGATCTTGCATGGAGCTCCAGTCCGAGGGAGAATGACAGTCGTCTTTAGCCTCTTCCATTTTCTAACAATTGCTCCAACAGTTGATCTATTTTCACTAAGCTGCTTGGCAATTGCCCCGTAGCCCTTTCCAGCCTTGTGGAGGTCCAAAATTTTGTCTCTGGTGTCTTGACAGCTATTTGGTCTTGCCCATGGTAGTAGTTGGCATCTGACTGACTGTGGGGTGGACAGGTGTCTTTAAAGAGCTCAGACAGGCGCTACTAAGTTAGATTAATGAGTGGAGTAGAGGTGAACTTTTTAAAGGCACAGTAACAGGTCTTTGAGAGCCAGAATTCTTGCTGTTTCTTAGGTGTTCAAATACTTATGTTCAGCAGTGCAAGACAAATAAATTCTTTAAAAATCATACAATGTGATTTCCTGAATTTTTTTTTAAATTCTGTCTCTCAGAGTGGGAATGCACCTACAATGTGAATTTCAGACCCCTCCATGATTTCTAAGTGAAAGAACTTGCAAAATCGCAGGGTGTTCAAATACTTCTGTTCCTCACTGTAAGTCATGTTTTGCTTGGGAATCAAATACTTATTTTACTCTCTGACCTGCAACTCAATTTATAATATATTTGTATCATGTGTTTTGTCTGAATTTTTGGTTGATATTCTGTCGCTATCATTTAAAAGACACCTATGATATAAAAATTATAGACCCTTAATTTCTTTGTAAGTGGGCGAAAGCTGCAGTGGATCAAATAATTACTTTTCCCCACTGTATATCCCCCTATCCACCCTTGATATAGCTTCATGTCTGACTCCCAGTTAAAATACCCTATAATATTCTAATTCTGGGTATATTTATGATTATATATATATAAGATATATACACTGCTCAAAAAAAAATTTAAAAAAAAAATTATTTCAACCTACAGAGGACTGAATTCAAAGACATCCCAAAAATCAAAGTGAAAAAATGATGCAGCAGGCTAGTCCATTTTGAAATTTCATTGCAGTAACTCAAAATGGTACTAAGTAGTTTGTATGGCCCGAACGTGCTTGTATGCATGCCAAATCAATATCCTAGGAGTTTAATTGACTTGATACCATACTCTGATTAAAAAGTGTTCCTTTAATTTTTTGAAGCAGTGTGTGTGTACATATGTTTATTTCACTATTACTTTCACTGTTTCACAGTATAATTTAACCCCTTATAGTAGTGATTATCTGCTATTTTTGTACTATAAAAGGGCTAATTTGTTTTATTTTTTAACACCATCATGACAGATGATACAAAACGAATGCTGCTTCTATTAAATGTACTAGTGATAACGGGCACAGGTAGCTTGTATCAAGTTACCTGCCCATCACGAGAGAGTCTGTCATGCATAATATTATATTACAGTTTTGTCTGAAAATCTGCAAAACAGACTTTTACAGCCTTTTTGAAAGTCTTTTTCCTTTAACAGTTTAACCAGCCGTTTATGTGCAGTGGCCGGGTGGGAGCTTTCCCATTCTGAGTGGTTGTTTCTGTACGTCCTGACAGAACACAGGGCACTGTAGTGTGTCCCTTGCACACAGCACATCACAGTTTGGGATATGGGTGCTGTGATTGGCCATCTCGAACACTTGATGGCTATGTCCAATCACAGCCATCACAGGTGGGGGAGTGGAATACTGCAGCCTGTAACAGCTCTTTCTATAGCTGAACATTTAAATCATCAGCTAGACAGAGATCACGCAGATTGCAGCCATCCCCACAGAGTACACAAAGGACCATCTCTACCTGTCAATGTGTCCCAACAACATCTGTGCCAGTGTCCCATCAACATCTGTATCAGTGCACAAAACATCTATCACAGTGTACTAGTGTCCCATCAAAATCTGTCATTGTAGCTCTGTCAGCGGTGCCGCCGGAGGGCTTTATTCCAAAGTAAGCATTTCATAATGTGTTAGTATGTATACTAGCACATTATGCCATTGCCTTGCAGGGATTTTTTTTTTTTTTTTTGAAAGGCTGTGGTTTACTACCTCTTTAACTAAACTATAAACCCCACTAGGAGGTCTTTAATCTGATTAATCAAAAAATAAAAATCGTCCAACTAAACGATTATGAAAATCATTAATAATTGCAGCCCCAGTTACTTTATTTTTTTATTCTTAGAATGGAATGGAAAAAAGTTAGAACTGGTGTCCATTGGCTGCTGTGTCTTCAGTAAAAGAAAATCAGCTCAGTAGGGATGCAGATGGCAAAAAGAAAAAATTCCTGACAGGGTTTCAGCCATTCCCTATTCTACTCAAAATGAAAATAAATGGCTATATGAGCATGAGAAGTGTGAAAAATAAATTGATAACGAAGGTATAAGAAATGAAACACTTACAAAAACACATTAAAGATTATGCCAAACACAAACCTGAATGAAGAGGGTGAAAATCGGAGTGCTGGTTATAGTCACACAACTCAGTTTTTTATTCATCTCATCAGCTGTAAAAGAAAAAACTAATCTTAAAGAAAGTAAGAAAATAAAAACAAAAACAAAAACGTGTGGTACAGATTTGCAGCATGTGCATGCATGTAGACTTCACCTCGCAACATCTCCAAGATATGCCCGTTCTTAACCTCTGAGACCACTAAGCAACTTATTTACTCCCCTTGTTATATCTCGCCTTGACTATTGTAACTCCCTCCTCATTGGCCTACCTAATCGCAGGCTATCCCCTCTTCAGTCTATCATGAATGCTGCTGCCAGACTCATCCACCTTACTAACCGTTCTGTTTCTGCCATCTCTCTCTGCCAATCCCTCCACTGGCTTCCCATTGCCCAACAAATAAAATTCAAAACATTAACAATAACATATAAAGCCATTTATAACTCTGCCCCAAATTACATCACCAATCTTGTCTCCAAATATCGCCCAAACTGTCCTCTTCGCTCCCCCCACGACCTCCTGCTCTCTAGCTCCCTTGTCTCCTCCTCCCATGCTCATCTCCAGAGCCTCCGCATTCCTCTGGAACGCTATACCCTACTCTATCTGATTATCACCTACTCTGCCCACTTTTAGGCGATCTCTGAAAACCTTCATCAGCTAATAACAGAATCTTCTATTCCTCCTATCAGTTCATCCCCCACAGTTATTACCTTTTGAACCACCAGCCCCTCCCTCTTAGATTGTAAGCTCCAAGGAGCAGGGCCCTCCTAACCCTCTTGTATTGAACAGTATCATTGCTGTATTGTCTCCCTTTATATTGTAAAGCTCTGAGCAAATTGTTGGCGGTATATATATCCTGTATAATAATAACCCACACATTTTGTCCCATAATATACCCTGCAAGTACAGAAAAATACAAGTTGATCTGCCAGGCATGCACTCTTCCCTTTGTATATTAACTCCTTCCAGCACACCCTTGCATCCCTTTTAAAAGTTTCCATCAGTGAAGATGGAAGGAGGGGCAATCATGTGACCACTGTGACTGGTTGTCACAGTGGTCACAAGATTGGAAGCCAGTCAAGCCGGCTAACAATCTTTAGTCAGGCCTAAGAGAAGCTTGGTCGGTCTGTGTGCTGGAAGCACACAGTAAGTGCAATCCCAGCATATAAATATTGGCCACCCAACGATGCATATGCACAACATGTGAGTGTTAAAGCCCACCTTTTTGCTGCCACACATGTGTGTTGCTGGGGCGTAAAGGGGTTAAACAGATCACAAAGGAGCAAGAAGAGAAGCTCATTGTTGGGGTTTACACATACTTTACATACTGTATAATCAATTCCTGCCAGTACACATATATGTGGCAGCAGGCACATTTATTTAATAAATAAACCAAGGAAGCAGGCTGCAAAGTAGTGGCTACATGGCACTGAGATACTCCATATATTCTTTCAAATATCCTACTAGTGCCGAAGGTGTACCTCACATACTAAAACACTACTAAATAATTTCTGGGAATGCCTACCATCCTTGAATACTGCAAAATAGTAAAAGGTATAAAGTGTTTTACATATTGACTTGGGTCCACGTAGGAAATGGTCCTTTGGCATTCCTGCTACACAACACACCCCTCTCCCACAAGAATTATAAAAACTCACATTTAATTTACTTACTAAATGATGCCAAAGTTTGTATTCCAATACTATGGAAACACATGTAGCAATACCATTGGATATGGTAATCGGGATTCTGGGATGCCCAACTGGAATGAATCAATGCAATTTTCTTTTCATTTACAGAAATAGATCCTGGACTGTTTTTTTCCTTGAAAGACATCAGTCTTTGCAGATCAGTACCAATGGTCCCTTATGGGCAAGGAACTAACAGCCCCTGAAGACAACTTAGCTTCTTGTAAAACTACATGCAGAGATGTCGCCTCTCCCCTGTAAAACTGCTCCCAGCTCCACACCTTGCAGACACTACCAGCCCTCCTGGCTGCCATGAAGATCTCCCAAGGCCAAGGAAAAAAGATTAAGCACCGTGCTGCCCTTTGAAAGCTTGCTACATGTGGAAGTCTTTCCTCTTGTGAATCTTTGGGTGTGCTGATGTACTCACTCTGTCCTCCTTGCTCCCACTACTCCCAGGCTTTGATCCTGTTCATGCCGTACTGCTGAATGGACCCTCCTCAGCCAAACCCGAGCCCAGACCAGAGGCCAGCCCTCCTAGACCCCTCCCAGGTCATCAGTCTCCTCAGAACTCCATCTTCCACCCAACTTTCCTTGCCGGTTTGACCATCCCATATTTATTGGTTGGTCTATTACTCTACCAGGGCCTCCAAACCTGGGATTGGTTAAACTCCCATAAAATGCATATTAAGTCTCCACCTCTTCCACCTACTAGCTTCTGGAAGGTTCTATGGTCCTCCAGAGCCAGGTGGAGGCAATAGAGTCCCAACCTGTTAAGCCATCCAGCTTAACCTGCAGTAACCCAACCCTAAATCACAGACTCACACAGTTACCATGAGTCATGCACAATAGATTTGCCTACACTATTTTAGTAGCACACTAGAGGGTGCTACACAAACTACAACAAATGAGAAATGTATTTCAGGAATAAAAAAGAACATGCAAATGGAAGATCTTGCAGCATCAATATGCCATCATGATAAACAGTTTTTGTAAGATCTGGTTCTATTGGATAGAATTTCAAATGTCTGTGGAATACTGCTCCTACTTAAAATAGTAAAGCCTGGTACACACATTGCGTTTCTTTTTGTTCAACCTAGCAGGCTGCACAAAAAAAGACTGACAGATCGCTGTACTAAGATGTTAATACAAAGATCTCTCCTGCTGTACCTTTGTGTTCTGACAGGGGGCACAGAAACTGCGCATGGTAGAGTTCTGATAAATATGTACATGAAAAAACATAGTATTTAATGTCTCACCCCTTGTTCTTCCTCTAAAACGCCTTCCACAGTTTGTTGAGAGTGGAAGAAACACATTTCCTACCCATCGCGTCACGGCACAGAGCAGCTTCCGATCTACTGATGCTCTGTACAGACGTGTCACAGCTGTCTGCGACAAAGATGTGCTGGAGTCCTTCTGCTGATCAGCCTCTGAATCTGGAGGGGGCTTGATCTGCCTTTGCTTTATTCTTTGGATCTAACAAACAAGAGAAAAAGATTTGGGTTAAAGTATATAAAAAGGAAATGGTTAAAACCCCTGTGTTTTTCTTTTGCTGTCTGTGTCCCATTTGGGAGATTTTGCTTACACTTTCTGTCCCAAATACACAACAGGAAGTGAAAGGAGATCTATTCAAAGTAAGGGAAATTCCTGCTTAGATTGTTCTCACTAACACAGGTTTCCCATTGGAAAATTTGCCCACACCTGCTCTGGTAACAACTATATCATTGTGGATTTCCCATCACTTTCTGTTCTGGTGGTAGTGGTTACCAGGACATAGAAAAGGGGGTGAATATCCTCAGTGGTGGTAGAGACCGCAATAAAAACCTAGAAGAGATTATAACTCTTCCCTACTCCATCAAAAATTAGAAAAAAAAGTTTTGGCTTTAGACACATTTAAATCAATTACCAGTACTGAAAAGCTTCCAACATGACAGACAAGATGTTTTACAGAATTAAACATAAATAGAAAGAAATATAATTGCCGAGGACAACGTGTTGCTTTGCTGTTCTCTGAATTCCTAAAGTTGGTTTGAAAAATAGCACAAAAACCTACATATTCCACATCTGCCACCCATGTGACTGCAATCATATTGTCAACTAAGAGCCCTGTTTACGTGGCTTTTACCTCGGATCTGACATGTCTACATCAGAAAAAATGGAAAAGGACATAAAACATTTCCCTTTTTTTTTCTGGACTCTGAGGTACTTGGATGTAAATTAATGTACATGTGCCCAGGGGCGGACTGACCATTCGAGCACTCGGGCACTGCCCGAGGGCCCGGGGTCAGTAGGGGGCCCCATGAGATGCCCCTGGTACCTTTCATTGGCTTTTTCATAGGCTTTTTTGAGTGTGGGCAAGGACACAGGGGCCCCATGATCCCTTATTGCCTGGGGGCCCCATGAGTTGTCAGTCCGCCCCTGCATGTGCCTACTGTAGACTAACATAGAGCTTCATTTCAGATCTGCCTTTCTAGTTTCTAAAGCTGGGTACACACACACAGTTTTTTTTTTTTATTTCAACCAGCAGGATGAACTATAAAAAAAAAAAAAAAAAAACCTCACAGATTCGAGCATCTGCACAGGCCATGTGGATGCAGCAATCTCCCCCTCTGTGCTATTGTATTCTGACAGTGTGGAATAACAACCAGCATCTGTTGAACAGAGAGGGTTACAAACAAATTAAAATTCGCCTAGTTCCTGTTGAACTGGCTGAATTTTGATACGTGTGTACTCACCCTAAAACGCTAGAAGCCCAAGCCTAAAAAGTTTATGGTACCAGAGACATTCTCAAAGACATACAAGAAGCAGATGCACCACGTATTGTTTTCAGTGTCGATTCACACATGTGCAGTGCGAATTGAAGCTTAGCTAATTGACACAGTTGTTGTTCAGCGGTTCAGGTCAGGTTTCGTTCAGGTTCAGGACATGTTTAGATAAGGTTCAGGTCAGGATTTTATTGATGACATGTCCAGTTTAGAAACAGTTCCCATAGTCAATAGCCTGTAATCCGTACCTGAACTGGACTGCACTGCTCACAAATCAGACAGGACTCTTTTTCAATCCGCACCACCAGTGCACTGGACATATGTGAATAGGCACCATAGGAAGCAATGTTATTTCACATGTCATGAGGATGGGATATGGTTCAAACTGCATCCAATCCGCATATTTGTGAACCGGCACCAAGTCCTAGTCTGCAATTACAATGCAGACTGCAACTGAACTGAAAGTAAATAGTTCAATGTAAATTTGCTTGGTTTTCCTGGATGTACAACTAAAACAAATGTGTAATAAAAGTGCAGTTTTCCTTTAAAGAGAAAATCCTCTTATCCTCTACAACCAAGAAACCTGCCATCATAGCCTCTATTTTATTTGCAGTTGCCATGGTGCTGCATGTGATCAGTTATGACACCAGCCATTTGATGGCTTGACGGTTCGTTTGAGAGCACAGGCATATGTGCCAGTTATCATTCATGACATGCCTTGAGTGGAACCATTGTGGGAAACTGTTAAAACAATGTTTTTATTTCTGCTTTAAATCCCAGGTTTTCCAGTCCCCTTTTTTTTTTTTTTTTACAGGTTTGAAAATGGTATATCCTACTTCTAATTGTATCTGTTTGACAGATGTTTGAAACTTTAGGAAGACTTTTGCAAAGGAACAGTTGTACAGGACAGCATACCTAGTAAAAAATATTGGAGTGTGCAGTTTATGAGTCCCACCTGTTTTCTTTCACTTTCTCTTGTGTTCCTCATAAGAATCTTGTTAATATCTTCTTCCCGAATCTGCAGGATTTCATGTCCATTCTTCTCCTCCTAGTGGCAAAAAAGCAGTTAAATTAAAAAGTGCAGGATAAAGGAGTGATTTCTTAAAAAGGAAAGTACACGTTTTTTCCTTAATTTTATATAGATTTGTATAAAATCTTTCTTGATATTTACTGCTGGGTAAACACTTGAACTCATTCTTAGTAAGCATACTAGCTTTTCTAATAGGGTAGCCCAGTACCACCTACACGTATTTTGGCAACCTGTGTATAACTAATTAAGATGTTTGTCTTTCTAGGCAAAAAGAAAAAGCATGTGTCCCTCCCTAAATGTCAAAGAGAATATAGTTTAAACAATTGGTACATATGATATATTAAAGGATAACTACAGGGAAATGTTTTTTTTTTTTGTTTTGTTTTGGAAAGAGTGCAAAGGGATTATAACACCTGTCAGGGTTTTATTGCTGCCTGTGTCCAAGCTGGGAAGGTTCACCCTCACTTATGTATCCTGTTTACCATTTTCATTGAAAGTGAAAGAAAATTCCAAATTTTGGATTTTCACCAGCAGAGGAATAGAGGGAACATCTTCCAATGGGAGAGACTAGTTTCAGTGACCCTGGTGACAACCAAGGATTCCTTCACTTTGAAGGAATTTCCTTTCACCTCCTGTATTGGCTATGGGACAGGAAGTTAATGGAAATCTCCACAATGAGACTCAGATGGCTAAAAAAGAAAAAAAATGACTGAGGCCGTACCCTCCCTCACTCCAATATGAAAAAAAAAAACATTTAATTCTTATACTGAGCAACATAAAGAAAATGCATTTACAAAGGAGCTTTAATTTCAGATGACCGTTCTCAGATAGGATGGCCAAAAACATTGCAACACTGTGTCACTGAAAGGCTTTTGGAGTTCCTACAGGCCAAAATATATTCTTAAAGGAGCAACTGTTGCCTGATCTCTGTACACAGACAGTCAGATGAGAGGAGTAGTAGAGAACAATGGAGGGTTATTTACTAAAGATGGAAAGTGTAAAATCTGGTGCATCTCTGCATAGAAACCAATCAGCTTCCAGGTTTAATTGTCAAAGCTTAATTGAACAAGCTGAAATTAGATGCTAATTGGCAACCATGTACATCTGCGCCAGATTCTGAGTGCACCAGTTTTAGTAAATCCCCCACCCTTCCCAATGTGTATTGTGCTACTAAATAGCATAACAGCATCGGATCCAACAAGCAAATATGTCAACCTCCCTGCACACACTAATGCCCCGTACACACGATGAGAATATTGCTTGAATGAGCGTCGTTTTTTTTTTGTATGCTAGTCTCATATTGAAAGTGAGCAGGTTACCAACATAACCAAAATTTTTTGTACGACAGAAAGAAAATTTGTACCTTATGCATTGTACTTTTCGGATGAAAACTGTACTGATTAAACAAAAATTGTACCATCTGGTATCATACAAGAAAAATTTTCATACTTGTCCCTTCAAATAATTTCGGACGGGTACTAACGATCAGATTATTGTATGATCGCTTCAAAAGCGTCATTTTTGTACATTTTTTTAAATCGTGTGTACGAGGCATTAGGCCCTGTTCACAACTAAACGATTTGAAGCATGATTTGAGGCTCCCCCAGAAATGTTCCAGCTCTCAACACTAGGATTTTTATTATATTCAATGGTGCCTTTTCACATAGTGTCGCTTGAAGCACATTGAAAAAGTACATAAGCTTTTTTGGGGTAGAGTCATGCTTTTTGGCCCTAACAGACTTCAATGGGAATACCTGAAAAAGCATGTTTTCTTGCCTGGTAACTATCTTTCCATTGGCTAAAAATAGTAATTAAAAAAATCAAGCCTGAAATGTACGCAAACATATTCAAACACACCTGTACAAACGTTTAACCATTTGACGCCCGGCCAATAGCCGTATGGCGTCCGGAAAAATGCACTAGCTTTCCAGGAGGCCGCCATTTAGCGTACTCCCACACATGCGCAGTTCGCACGCTTGCAGAGCTGCGCAGCAGCGCAATCTGTCACTGGCTGTGTACCTCGGACACGGCCGATGACAGATCTGAGTATCGGCCCCGTTGCCGGTACCATGTGACCTGCTGTGACCAATCACAGCAGGTCAAATGACAGTTGTATACAATGGATGGCTTCATTCATGCCTTCCATTGTATACTAGTGTCTAGCTGTGAATGGTCACAGCTAATCACATGCACATGTCATGTGATTAGCTATGGCCAAATCACAGCTAAGCACAAAAAAAAAAACACCCTGAATTAATTGAGGTCATTCAGGTAAATGCTTGCTTATAGCAAAGTAATTCTTTGCTATAAGCAAATTGTGTAGTAAAAAAAAAAAAAAAAAAAAAAATACTGATCACTTCCCTAAAGTAGTACAATGTTACTATGGTAACATTGTACTACTTTGGACATAGTGAAATATGAAAAAAACAATCTTAAGAAAAAAAAAAAAAAAATTTATAAAAAAATTAAAAAAAATTTTTTAAAAAAAAAAAAAAAAAAATATATATATATATATATTTTTTTTTACACTGTCACCAGTCAGTGTCCCTGATCACCGCCATGCCAGTTATATGATGACGCTGTACTGCACTGGTGACCGTATGTAAAAAAAAAAAAATTTTTTTTATTTTTTCATTTTCCGAAAAATTATGACAAAAAAATACAACTTCAAAAAACCCGCCATGCCCCTTATGAAGTACGTCGGACTGTCTACTCTGCAAAAAGGGGTCATTTGGGCGATATCTGTACTGTTCTGACATTCTTGGACCTCAAGAAATTAGATTGGCTTTCAGTACTTCAGGATTGATCAATATTCAGATCTATACCATAGTTTGTGAACTCTATAACTTTCCTACAAACTACATCCTAATTTGGGTTATTTTCACCATAGACATGTAGCAGAATACATCTCGGCCTAAATTTATGAAGAACAATTATTTATTTGCAAACTTATATAACAGAAACAAATAACGTGTTGTTTTTCAAAATTTTCGGTATTTTTTTGTTAATTTAGCAAAAAATAAAAACCCTGGCAATGATTAAATACCACCAAAAGAAAGCTCTAGTTGTGTGAAGAAAATGATAAAATTTTAGTTTGGGTACAATGTTGTATGACCGCGTGATTTTCATTCAAAGTGTGAGAGCGCTGAAACCTGAAAAATGGCCTGGGCAGGAAGGTGTAAAATTGCCCGGTGGTTGAATTGGTTAAAAAAGAAAAGATAGAAAAATTACCAAAGATTCTCAGATCAAGTATGAATGGAGCCTAAGCCCTGGTTCACACTAATGCAGTGCGGGAAACTGCAGCAAATCCTGTGCGTTTCCCGTACCATATTGCAATTGCACGGCGTCCATGCAATCTGGTATGGGTGTCAATGTTAAATTAACAACATCCTGAAACAGATCACAAAACACAGTGCAATTATCAGAATTCGTGTAGGTGAATTAGGTGCGGGGAAAAAGGGTCCTGCACCTTTTTAGTGCGAATGCGATTTGAGCCATACAAAATGTATGGCCCAAATCACACTGCACAGACAGACATCGCATGTGATATGCACAGGAATGCAGCGTGGTTCCTGTGAGAATCACATGCGATGTGCCGCACTGTATTAGTGTGAACCAGGGCTAAATCTCACCATTGTTCAGGTATTCCTTACAGATGCTGCTACTGCTGTCAGATCACAACAGCCACCAAGCAGATTCATCCATATAGACTTTATAGCATGTATGGAGGAGAATGTAGCTTGGAAAAAAAAAAAAAAAAAACACCTTTCAGCGTATGGCTAGCATTAGGATGCGGACTCACTTTGGAGAGTTTGCAGTGTGTTTGCCCCTATCCCCCCACCTTGCTGTTTGGACCTCACAGGCCCATCCTGAACTTTCTCATTGCTAAGCACCCCAAAGTACCTCCCACACCCATCCATCATACTGCAAAGCAAGTATTTTTTGTACACTTGACAGAAATGTTCATAAAAAATAACTAACTAAACAAAGAGGACACATCTAGAGGCTCATTCACACCACTGCACTAACACTCATGTGAATGGCACCTCAACGCACTTTCCAGACCCAACAACTTTGTAATGCACTGCAATGCGCAGTAACACACTACACTGTGTTGCTTTGTGCTAATGAAAATACAGGAGCAATTTTTGGACCATTGTGGGACATAAGACTATCCACTGAAATTGTGCATTAAACGCACTGCAATGGACATCCTCACAGGCCCATTCACACCAGCCCAGTATACTGCAGTGCATTTAGTGCATGTGTGTTATGTTGTGCGTTTCTGCATTGCATTAAAGCAGAACATTAGTTTAAATGGGCTGTTAAATTCAACAAAACTGACCAAAATTGCATATTCGCTAGAGAACACTGCACTGCAGTGCACTGGGGCGTTCAGAATGAAGAGTGTGTAAAATGCATCATTGTAAAGCATCAGAGTAAATGGAACCTAAATACACACCATTTTCATTCAGAATGGCTCCGACAGCCCAATGCTTACTTTCAGATGAGGAACAGTTACACCTAACAGTGTACTACAGCTATAACCACTTGGTTTCAGCCAGTGCATGTGCCAAGGTCCTCTACAACATTGTGCCAGGCACTGTTAACCTTTAGCATGGGGATAGCAGTGGGTACCACAGATATAGGGTAGGGTAGACCATCCCTCAGGCATCTACACCAGTAGTAACAGAACAATTTTTATTGCCACGGTCTTCACATATACAACACATTATCAAGCAGTTTATCACTCCTTCACCAGGTAAGTGACAACAAAGGATGTAAAAACAGAGTTGTAAAGTTTTGCATAACTCTAGGTTTTAAAAGCAGAGATGCTGCTCCTCCACTTGTACTACTTCCTAATCTGGATTGCTAATATGTGTTGACTATATCTTCCACTAAAGCTAAACTCCCCCACTGTGGCTAGCAGAGATACTAGAGTTTGTGCATACTAAAAAAATAAAACAAAAACAACAAAAATGACCATAGATGCTCCTTAAAAATCAATCTTACATAGTAGCTAAACACACCTCTTTCAGGAAGTCCTCAACTGTCTCAGTAACTGTGTCAGTGGATGAAGGATAGGCAATACCCTTCAAAATGGTGTTGAACTGAAAAGAGCTCCCTTTGCTCTTCTTTTTTTTCATTCTCAGAGGCTTGTTGTTATGAGAAGGAGCAGAGTAAACATGGAGACTCTTGCCCTGCAAGCCAGGGCTCCTTTTCCTAGGGATCCACAAATCCAAATCTGAAACAGACCTAAGCAAATTGGAGATTTCTTCGTCTCCGGATTGGTCCATCAGCTCCATGGTTTCATCCTCGCTCTCACTGCTGCTGATGATGATGCTGCTTTCACTGCTACTGCTACCACTGCTAATCTCCTCCTCACTTGCCATCTCTTTTTTTATCTTCATTGCCTTTCGGGGCTTTTTTGGTCTTCGTAGTTTTGGTGGGATTGTTTTTTTTAGCCGTTTTAGTCTTAGCTGTCTTAGTCTCATCCTCCTTCTCTGTAGGATACAGAGGGCATAAGTAGAAGTAGCAAACAAATGTAAACATATCTAAAATCAAGAACAAAAATGTTATATTTTTGCAGTTGACCAGTTCTTAGATGAGGTGCGTGCATTAGTTGCCTTTTTTCAGGCACACTCACTGTGCTACATCTGCAAAGGAACAGTGTTGTGACTGAGGGTGGGACTACAGAACATCTGCCTCTTCCTTAACAGGAGGTGGTTGAGGTGTTCTGTAGTCCAGAGAGATAACTGGTGACAATGATTACTGAAAACAGTCAGGACTGGGAAAGACCACAGGAAGCCATCAGCTCACAAGATCTGTGGCAGGATCAACAATATTTTTTTGCAGATATCGAACAGGATTAACAGTACCTCCAATGGTATATTTAACAGGCCAAAAGTGAGGAACCCCCCCACAGGTTTATAGCTCGGGTGTACATACACTTTAAGGCTTGGTTCACATCTATAAGCTTCCCCTGTGGCTTTGTTTGCTTGTGCACAGCAGCCCACTGATTTGAATGGGCTGCTGTAGCCACTGAAAAATGCAGGGGAATGGTTCCTGCACCTTTTTAGAAAACACAGCCCCAGGAAAACTGTATAGTGCATTGCAATTCCCAGTGTGGGGAACCGGGTAGCCATAAGGGTTAATGGTACCCCCACGCATCTCCTGAGCAGCATTGTGTTTTTTTCTTTTTCCTGTTGGTTGTGGGTGTGGGAACAGATGTGGTCCCACAGCAGCAACCACCCGCACAAGTGTAAACCTAGCCTAAGGCAATTATGAATATAGATCAAATCCAAACAACACACAACACATTATTTGAGATATAGAAAAAATAAACACTGAAAAAAAAACTGAAGAAAAAAAAAAATTGGACTTCAAAAGACCCAGTTTATGTAGGTGTCAGGCAATAATATATCCTTCTTATACAACATCTTCTGTGTTTCATTGCATAATATCTTCTTTGTAATTAAGGTTGTTGGTTAATTTCTCAGTATCTCCAATTAATTTTATTTTTCACTAATTCGAATGGTCTGTTTTAATTCCAGGATTGTTTTTACACTTCTCTTAGCAGATATAGAAAGGTTAGCAATAGATTAAAAATTATTTTCTGTGGGATGATCTCCAGGTAAAACACTGAATACATAGTTGAGGAACTATGCATTTGTTATTTTATCCACCAAATCTCCAGAAGAGTCATGCTGCGCAGGGGATACAGGAAGGCAATACCTGTAAAAACCTGTGTAGGTATAATACTAGCTGCATTCAAAACAAATCTGAAGTAGACCTCAAAAAGTAAAAATTTTGTTATAAGGAACATCTAGAAGTGTTAAATTTTCCTAAGCAGCACCCTAAAAAATGTATCTTTTGTCTTGAATTCCTCCTAAAAATATGCTGTGCACAGCGTCATAGCTGTATATATGCAGTGGTATAACTAAATACCTACAATCTTTCACTGGTAGGAGATTTGAAGTGAGATTTTGGTTGTCATTTTGTATTGTGTTGCTTGCTGTGCATCTTGCTTTAGGTTCTGCCATGAGGAAGCAAAGCCTTGCCTCTACCAAGATAGCTACCTGCACACACAGACACAGAGCAAGGTTTCCTATTCCTCCAGGGAACCTGGGACTGCGTTAAACACTGGTAACTTTAAGAGTAGAAGGCAACGAAGGAATATTCGTCTCCCAATCCCCACTGTGACGAATGAACCCAGAAGCAACATGTATTACATTACTTCCTGGTTCACAACTATCATTCCTCATCTACTCTAGCCAAGGATGCAGCTAATCAAGCATGATTTGTGCTTGATCAGCTGCACTAGAGGTAAGGGGAGACATTGGGGGTCTAATAGCCGCAAACGTTAGAGAATGAAAACTTTTACAGGTTTTTTACTGTATAGCTATTTTTGAGACATTTCACAGGCCTACACAATTTTGAGTCTTGTATTTACTCCACACAATCCCATCTCTTATATTTTACTAATAAATTGTATATTATATTGTGTTTGAGGGCACTAAAATCCAATTAATTGTATTTTTTTTCCTAAAAATCTGAATTTGATAAACAACTCTCACAAGGACAGGTTGGATGAGAACATTCTCATACCTTAAAGTAGCCGGTTATTTGCTTCCATTTGCTGAGACATTGTGCTGAAGTCCGGTGTGGCACCTCCCTGCTCACTTGTGCCCAGTGACCTGTAAGGGGAAAAAAACAAAAAAACCCACAACAACAATAAACATACTTACATATACAGTTAGGTCCACATATATTTGGACACAGGCACAATTTTCATACTTTTGGCTCTGTATGCCACCAGAATAAATTAAACGGAACAATCCAAATGAATTTGAAGTGCAGACTTTCAGCTTTAATTCAAGGGGTTGAACATAAATATCAAGTACAAATTTAAGGAACTGCAACCATTTTCATACACAGTCCCTCCATTTTCAGGGGCTCAAATGTAATTGAACAAATTAATATAATCATAAGTAAAATGTTCATTTTTAATATTTTGTTGAGAATCCTTTACTGGCAATGACTGCCTGAAGTCTGGATCCCATGGACATAACCAAAGACTGGGTTTCCTCCTTTCGATGCTTTGCCAGGCTCTAACTGCAGATGTCTTCAGTTGTTCTTTGTGTGTCTTTCTGCCTTTAGTTTTTCCTTCAGCAAGTGAAATGCATGCTCCATTGGGTTGAGATCAGGTGATTGACTCGGCCATTGCAGAATATTCCACCACTTTTCCTTCAAACGCTCCTGGGTTGCTTTTCAAGTGTGTTTTGGATCATTGTCCATCTGTACAGTGAAGCGCCGTCCACTCAACTTTGCTGCATTTTGATGAATCTGGGCTGACAGTATATCTGTAAACACTGCAGAACTCATCCGGCTGCTTCAGTCTTCTGTTACATCATCAATAAACACCAATGACCCAGTGCCACTGGAAGCCATGCATGCCCATGCCATCATACTGCCTTCACCATGTTTTACAGATGATGTTTTGTGCTTTGGTTCCAAGCCTTCTCCACACTTTTTTCTTCCCGTCATTCTGGTACAGATTAATCTTAGTTTCATCCGTCCAAAGAATGCTTTTCCAGAACTGGTCTGGATTTTTTAGATGTTTTTTTGAAAAGTCTAATCTGGCTTTTCCATTCTTCAGGCTTATGAATGGTTTGCACCTTGTGGTGAACCCTCTGCACTTGCTCTTGTGAAGTCTTCTCTTGATTGTAGACTTTGACAATGATACGCCCACCTCCTGGAGAGTGTTCTTCACTTGTCTGGATGTTGTGAATGGGTTTTTCTTTACTATAGAGAGGATCCTGTGATTATCCACCGCTGTTGTCTTTTTTTTTTTTGCTGAGCTCACCAGTGCGTTCTTCTTTCCTCAGAATGTACCAAACTGTTGATTTGGCCACTCCTAATGTTGCTGCTCTCTGATGGATTTGATTTGTTTCTGAAGCCTTACAATGGCCTGTTTCTCTTGCATGGACAGCTCCTTTGAACACATGATGTAGGTTCACAGCAATAGATTCCAAATGCAAATACCACACTTAGAATCAACTCCAGACCTTTTACCTGCTTAATTGATGAAGAAATAATGAAGGAGTAGCCCACACCTGGCCATGAAACAGCTTTTGATTCAATTGTCCAATTACTTTTGGTCCCTTGAAAATGGGGGGGATGGCTACTCTTAAGAGCTGTAATTCCTAAACACTTCCTCCAATTTGAATGTGCATATCCTCAAATTAAACCTGAAAGTGTGCACTTGCAGCCCAAATCCATTATATAACTATAGCTTCAATAAAATACCTGAAAAAACTAAAATTGTGCCTGTGTCCAAATATATATGGACCCAACTGTAGGTAATTAAGTACATAAATACATATCATCAATATCATCAGGCTATATGTAACTGAAAGGCTTAATTTTAAAGCAGGCTGGAAGTTCCAAATCACTTTATGTGCATCCCAGTGTACAATTTTGCATCTGCTGAGATGGATTAACTCCTGTGCATGTGCAAAGGTTGCGTCAGCCCAGCGCAGCAAGTCACAATGGCCAATGATCCTGTATGTGGGATAAGACTGGACAAAGATGTTGGTGGTCAGCGAAGGAGCTCAAGGACTTTATATTGCTGGAGGGGAGTATAGTTCTGCTTCAATTTTGGACAGGCATTGGTAGGTACTGGATCAGGACAGCTGAAGCTTGTTACATTTATTTTTTGTGCTTGAAACTGTCTACAATTTTAGTTCAGCTTGTATCATGTCAACAGTATTTTTGGAGTTTTAGCAAGCTTTTAAATTACATTTTATTTGCTTTGTTTCTTTCATCCTAAAAGTATTTAGTTGTAGAGGACTGAAGTAATGTGAACCATCTTTTCGACCTTAAAGCCCAACTCTAGACAAATTTTTTTTTTTTTTAGTTTTTGTACAGACCGGTAAAGAGTCAGTTTTTTAACTGCTGTCTGGGTCCCTAGCAGAGATATCCATCTTCACTACTTATTGGTAACGTGTAAGTGTCATAGTGATTGGAAATGATGGGCTAGATCCCTGAGGGCAATAGGTACAGCAACATTCATTTAGTAGAATGGAGACTGGTTAGAAAGTCTTATTGTTCTCTGTATTTTTATATTCTAGACACAGATGCATCCTTTCATATCTTATCCTGGTAAAAACCAAGATAGGAAAAGAGAGTGATATTGCCAGGGGGAACACCGTCTGCAATAAAACTTGACAGATGTCCTGACTTTTATCCTATTGAAAAGTAAAAAAACTATTTTAGTGGAAATTGGGCTTGCTTTACTTTTCTGTATCCTGCAGTACAAACATTATTCTGCGAGAGAAACTGCACAAATATAAACAGGCTGGACGATAAAAGTACAGAAACTCACCAACACCATACTTGGCTGTGAATTCAAGAAGTTTCTCCTTCTCCTCCGGGTCCCATTTACCCTTCTTAATATCCTTATGAAGCCCTTTGACGTACCTACAGAATGAAAAATGCAGCAATTGCAATGGAAATGCACATAAAAGCATTAATGTCGGCTTCCAGCATAAAAAGCATTATCTTTTCCGGTGCTTCTATCTCTTGCTTTTGAGGCTGCTTCTATTTCTGTATGCACCACCACAATATACTGTATATACAATTCAGTGCTGAACTTGTACTAAGAAAAGGTGGCCATTGCTAGGCTTCGTCTAAAATGCTACTTGCCTAGCTGTGTCTGAATTCAATATTTTCTTATTCACAGAGACAGAAAAAACTTGTAGCTGGTGACATCAAAACTCCTGATGTAGGAATTTGTTCTAGGTCAGTAACAAACAGTAAAAAGCCCCTCATACACACTGACATCTATACATGTAAAGAGGAACTCTTGAAAAGATTACAAACATTACATGTTTGAATGGGCCTTACCTCTCCCGGCACTGAACATCACTCCTTCCCGGAACCTCAAGCCGCATTTTGTACCAGTCCTTCTCACCATATTTAGCTACTGCTTTTAACAACATCTGAATTGGGGAAAGTAAAGGAAAATGTGCTAGGTAGACCTTAACACTCAGCATTCTTGCTCTTTGATTAAAAGAAAACAACTTCTGCAACTCCAAGCACAAATGCAACCAATCAGTGAACAAATAATGCTAATCAGCACAAGCTGCAACTGTGCTAAGATCAGAACTTTGTCTCCGTTTGCCTTAATTTGAGTTCTCTGTGGTCCACTGAAGCCAGAATTCAGAGCGCATTCCACATTATTACTGGGAGTGTGCTACCAGCAGTCCATGCTGTAATACCATCTATACACTTTCTAAATTACCAGTCACATTCAAACTTTCAAAGCAGGTTTGAAACGGATTAGTAGTTGTAACTAATATTCTGAGTACTGACACTTTGGTACACTGGGCTTCAACCAGATATAATATGCTAAAACTAGAAGGAAAACCTACCATAAAAGATAGGGTTTTCCCAAGATGTGAGATAGAGAAAAACCTCCCACGCTGCCAATCTTATAATAATCCTGTGGTCTATACAAAGCAGCTAGCACCTGACTATATAACCAGATAGTGAGGATGCAATGAACAGGGATGGTGCTGCGCTAAGACAAAAACCTAAATGAACTATGAAAAGGTGGGAAAAAATACATTAAATAACCCACAAAAACATGACACATATGGACCATAAATAACACAAATGCGCCAACATCAGTGAAACAACATGAATGGAAAACACATCCTAAACTCAAGACACGTGCCAAAGTGGTATAAGTGAACCGTGCATATGATACAAGGTAAAAAAGCTCAAAAACGCATGTAACAGTCTGGGTGTACTTGCATGGGTGTAGCAAGATGGTACTGACAACGGAAGCGTGGTGACGTCAGTACCGGCGTGGACGGCAGGTGCCATCTTGCCCATGGAGGTGAGCAGGCAGTTTAGCCGGTGGTGGATTTCTGCTCAAGTCTATCACTTTCACCATCACCCATCAAGTTTATTTGGGAATTATTTATTGGACTTTACACATAGGAGTCTATTGTGGACTTTTACACCTTTTTGATATTTGTTTCACTGATGCTTATTTTTGCACTGCTATATATCACATTTGTTTTTTTTGGATTGATCATTATTATACCGGTTCATCCCTTGTTTCCATATTTGTTCACATCATTATTTTTTTCTCTTACCATATTCACGGTTCACTTATACCACTTTGGCACGTGTCTTGAGTTTAGGATGTGTTTTCCATTCATGTTGTTGTTTCACTGATGTTAGCGCATTTGTCCTATTTATGGTTTACATGTGTCACGTTTTTGTGGGTTATTTAATTGAATTTATTTTTTTTCACCTTTTCAAAGTTTATTTAGATTTGTCTTAGGGCAGCACCATCCTCGTTCATTTTTTCCCAAGGTCCATATACGTTGCTCGCGAGATTGGCTCACGAGCCCCGACAGCAGTCTGCAACTTTGGAGGTCTAATTATGGCATCCCAGCAATGTCATATTAATCTCACATTCTACTTTAGATGTGAGAGTAATATGGCTGAATTGATGGAGCTACTCACTTCATCTTCCTCTTTAGTCCACGGGCCTTTCTTCAAACTGGGATCCAGGCACTTTGTCCATCGATACAGGAGCTGCAAACCGTCTCGGCCCTCCATGAAATAAGAAACTACAAAATAAAAAAAAATACCAAAAAAAAAAAAAAAAAAACCTGGTCATTTTGCTGTGCTAGTGAAGTAAACCTGTCACATATGAAGGACAATAAGGCTTCATTTATACAGCTGTAAAAAAAACGGATATACAAGCATTTTTTAATTACTGATTTTAACACGGTTGCATTGCTTTCAATGGAGCCATTCACACAGGTGTGTAAACATGAGCTGCTTTCAGATCCGTAACACGGAATCCAAAATTCTGCATCGAAGAACATGCAATTTACGCACTGTCGGGTGCCCCCATAGCAAGCAGCTTGCTATGGGGGCATCCGCTGCTCTGTGTGTCAATTCACACACAGAGCCCTGGCTTGTTCACCCCCCCTCGCTTCTCTCCTCATTGGCTGACTGGCTATGATTTACAGCAGTGGGAGCCAATGGCTTCCGCTTGCTGTCTCAGCCAATGAGGAGGCAGAGACCCAGGACAGCCGAGGCTGTTGTGCACATCGCTAGATCGCGATGGGGCTCAGGTAAGTATTGAGGGGGCTGGGGGCACTGCTGCACACAGAAGGTTTTTACCTTAATAAATAGGATGCAAAAAGGCAAGACACCTTGAGTCTTTACAACCACTTTAATGTAGTACTTGGAGAACTGCTGCATGACCAGAGTTCCCTTTTCCTTGGGACCCAATTTTAAGCAAGAGGAAAAACAAAACAAACATAGCTGCCCTTAGTCGACACTAGGCATTTAGCACTCACTTTTTTTGTAAGGGATGTGTTCCCCAACCCTCATTCGCTGAACAAAATTAGTCAATATCTCGTCTTCCTCCTTCGTGAACTCACTCCGTTTGAAGGCTTTGTTATTGCGCTGGAACATCTGAAGACACTGGAATGCTGTACGTTGGGTCTGTAGGAAGGAAGACATGAATATCCAGTGAAAGATTTACTTGTCTGTACTACAGTCAAAACCAATAATTCACTTTTGATTAGTGGATGGAAGATTAAGTTACCCACTTGCTTTTTATATCTTTCAGGGACTACAGTGCTGAAATTATCTTATGTCTGCAGAGCTCTCATCATTAGAGTCTCTGGAAAATATAAGAATGCACTAAGGTACTAAGTGATTCAAGATTCAGCATCTGCCCAGAACTGAAATATCTCTCAATTTTAGGTCACTGAAGCTTTACAGCCAAAATGTCAACTATTTTAACTAGTTTAAGACACTGGACATGCTACACACCTAAAAATCATAGCACACAGAACATGTGAAGCAGATTCAGTCCTTCTGCCACACTGCTGCAACCCCCCTCCAACGCCCCAGCAATTTTTGGGTCCGATTTAGGCTCGTTCACACTACTGCATCCTAAAAGTCATGCAACTTACATGGCGACTTTGCCAGGTAACTTCCTGGCAATTTGCCGGCGACTTAAATACAACTTTGATGCACGACTTTCATGCCATGTGACTTTGCCTGGGTAATCTTCCTGTAATGTGGGATCCAAATCACATCGATATAGATGAGGATCCAACTTGGACTTCCATTAAATTTTATGGGCACAAATTGGATAGAAGTCACCTTGAAGTAGTACAGCAACCTTCTCCAAAGTTGGAGCGACTTCAGTAGTGCTAATTAAGACAGCTCTCATTGAGTAACATGAGATGTCATGCGATTTGGGGTTTCAAAAGTCGAATCCCAAGTTTTTTTATAAGCTCAAAAAATCCTAGAAAAAAACCGCTGGATGAAAAACGTTGATAATAGCATTTTTGTGCTGGGTTGTAGTAGAATTTTAGTAGCGTTCAGGACCATTAGCCTTTTATTAGTGTTTTTTACAGCACATGAAGAAAAAAAAAAAAATGCTCTGAGGCAAAAACAACTGTACAAGAACAGATTTTATTTATGCTCCTAAACACTGAAGCTTTAAAAATGCTTATAGCATTAAAAAAAAAAAAAAAAAAAAAAAAAAAAGTGTATGGACACATAGGATAACACTATTAGCTTCTACGAGCAAAACAAATTCTCATAATAGTTTCTAAGAGAATTAAAAACGCTAGTGTGCATGGAGCTTAAACAAAATTTGCCTCAGTTAAACCCCTTGTTAACCCTTAGGTTACCTAACTCACTCCTCCTCCTCCTTTCAGCTATTTTCTTGCTGATTTTTGTGGTCATTTCTGTTTTACTAAAGATAGTATTTTTTTTTAGTTTGTCTTGTTTAATTGTTTTTTAATTGTTGCGTTACATTCAGAAAAGCGCAAAATTGAAAACAAAAACACAATTTCATTTGTAAATAACTTTGCAATGCTTTGTACCAGAATCATAATTTTAGTTTCTGGGACAGAACCAACCAAGACAGGGGCTTTTGGAGGAGGCTGCAGGCTAGCCTCTTGTCTACGGACTTTGATCCTGGCACCTGAGGGGGCTCTATTCTTTGGTGGGTGCCTGGGGGAACCTTTGGAGCAATTAACTTCAGATTCAAGTCTTTGTCTCCCCAAAACACACAGACTCTGAACTGGAGGACCAGGATACAAATTTGGGGTCTCTGTGCCTAGACTAACATTGATTGCTTCAACCCCCCCTCCTTCCTAGACTCAGAGACAAAATGTTGATATTATCAGCTCAAAACAACCTCATGCTGAGGACGCTTGCTTGATCTAATCTGTTTATTTAGGTGTTAAGTGTTTACCATCTTGTCCCATGTGCCTCCTAGGTGTGCATTCCCATTGCTAATTGAGTCACCTATTGTCTGTTGGTTAGCAAGACCTTTTGGAGGTGCCTACATGATATGATTAGACTGATATCAGCTTCACCTTCTTATCTAATCAGTGTGGGATGTTTATCTCAATGTGTAACATTTGTTTTTTTATTGTGGGAACTGCCCCCCCCCCCCCCCCCCCGATTCTGAACTATATAAAAACCTGTGTTCATGTTCAATAAAGTAGTTCCTGTTTGGCATCTAAGCTAGTGTCGCCTAGTCTTGGGTGCAATGCCCAGGTAAAATACTTTGGTCCTGTGTCCCAGCAGCAAGGAAGCAGTTCTCTGACGGAGTCACCCAATTGTGGTGACAGGCATTCCGTCACAGTGTCATTTTAAACAGAACAAATTACAGAATAAAATGTATACCTTTCATCTACAGTACCACTATTTATTTTTAAACTGTGATTTTAAAAAATGTGTGTTTTCCTTGTTATATTTTCTAAGGATTAAAAATTTTTTTTTTTTTTTGCAAGACAATAATACTGTGTGTGTTGAAAAGTATGCATACCCCGGCATGAAGCCATTTATTACCAGATTGTAGTTTGGCTCCTTTTTAAAAAAATAACAGAAATCACCAAAATGTCCTGTTCAAAAGTTTACATATCCTGGAATGTCTGGCCTTGGTACAGACACACAAATGTTAAAATGGTTAATTTCTCATATCTGTGGCATTATAAATTGCAATTATTATTGCTGTATAAATAGTCAATGAGTTAGTTAGCTTTCACATGGATGCTCTGAGCAGGCTAGAAACTGAGCCATGGGGAGCAGAAAAGAAAGGTCAAAAGACCTGCATAACAATGTAATGCATCAACAGGGGCGGATTGACAACTCATGGGGCCCCCAGGCAATAGGGGATCAATAGGGCCCCTGTGTCCTTGCCCAAACTCAAAAAAGCCTATGAAAAAGGTACCAGGGGCTTCTCATGGGGCCCCCTACTGACCCCGCGCCCTCAGGCAGTGCCCGAGTTTCCAAGTGGTCAGTCCGCCCCTGTGCATTAGGTAACCTCAGGAGAAATACAGGCTGCTCTGGAAAAAGACAGTGGGGTTGTTTCAAGGAGCACAATACAATGATACAATGCACAAAAATGAGCTGCATGGCCAAGTTGCCTTTACTGCACCAATGCCACAAAAAAGCCTGGTTACAATATGCCTGACAGCGCTGACATGCCTCACAGCTTCTGGAACACTGAAATATGGAGTGACAAGACCAAAATAGAGCTTTATGGTCACAACCAGGAGCGCTATGTTTGGAGAGGGGTCAACAGCGACAAAAATACCATCCCAAATGTGAAGCATAGTGGTGGCTCACTGATGTTTTGTGGGTGTGTGAGCTTTAAAAGGCATAGGAAATATTGTGAAAATTGATGGCAAAATGAATGTGGCATGTTATCACAAAATACTGGCAAACAATTTGCATGACCTTTGAAAAGGCTGAAAATGGCTGAAAGATTCAATCTGATTTGCGCAAAGCCCCATTCACATATCACTTAGCGGGAGAGCAGGTTCTCACTAGAAATTTTAAAAGAACAATTCACATGAGTTTTCATGTATCACGCATAGGGCAGCCCATTCACTTGAATAGACTATCCTATACGCATTTGCTGCAGCAAAAAATCTCAGGGCGCACATTTTGGCACTGAGCCAGGAGCAAATTTACACACGTGACAACTGCAGCAAAAATCACACTACGTTTGGGGTACCATTACGGATGAATGACACCCAAATGCGTGTCATGCGTTTTACCACAAATTTGGAATTGTGGGCAGCATTGCGCTGATTCTGCCCATGGCTCCTAATCGCCTAAATAAATGGAGCCTAAATGTTAAGAAGATTGAGTTTTGTTTGTTCAGTTTATCCCCATAAAGAAAAGATATTCCAGTAGCAATCTGAGTGGCTTTATATTTTTGTCTGTAACTGCTGAGCACTGACCCCCAATTCCTGTGCAATTGATTCCCAGTTGACAAAGTTATGATCCTTTGCTATCTCCTTCAATTTTTGGATCTCTTCTTCTGACCAGACTTCTTTGTTGACGTGTGGGTGCTCAAAATTCTGCCAAATTCTGCACAGCCGGTCCGGGGTGTGATTTCCTTCAAACTAGACAGGGATTATTGGGTGCAAACACAGAAAATTGTTAAAAAGCACGTAAAGTGAGCCTATCAGTAAGCTAAATGAATGAACTATTCCCAGACATCATCCTAAAAGCCGTTCCTTTTCTCTTCACATTTTGGGGCTCTAAGAAACCCTAAACTTGGGTAAGCAGTGTATGCCGATTCCAACAGCGTTGGAATTCTACTGTTACCAACCAGCATCTGAAAATGCAATGTGACCACCTTGGAAACCTATAAAGGGGAATTAGTACTGTGGCCCGAATGCTAGGGAAACTCTCTGGGACACCCAGGAGAAGATTGCAGGCAACAAAGGAAATGGGAAAACATGTAGTCATGTGATCTCTTTCAGAAAGGAAAATCAAAGCTCTGAACGCCTTTAATTCTCTTTTGCAGATATCACACAACCAATGTTCAAGTGACCAAAATTTTGAAATGCTAAGTCTATAACTAACAACAATTTTCAGGTACCACATCCCGTAATCTGTATAATAAACAAAGAGAAAGAGTGGGATTCTCTGGGCACCAATTGACAACACAATTACATGTTTAATGTTTTTTTTTTACAAGTAAAAAAAAGATTGATATATATATATATATATATATATATATATATATATATATATATATATATATATATACACACACACACACACACACACATACATACATACACACCCACACATATGGACCAATCTACATTTTATTTCATCACTTACTGCCTGGATTAGTTGAGTCCCGTCTGGCAAAATATCTTCAGATGGAGATTTGGGACCTCAACGTGTTTCAGCTCTTAAAAGAGCCTTCAGCAGGAGGAAAAGATATGCTCGGAAATACAAGTGCATATGGATAAATACCACATATAAAATATGGCCATTAAAGTCATAAAGGCTACTTTATATACTCAAAAAAGATACAATATAAAATATAAATAATTAAAAAATATAAATGTATATAAATATACAAATGGAGAGAAGCAGGTCCTATATGGAGACCCTCCAAGGGAATCAGGTGAAGTGCAAGAAGGATGAACCAATTAATATGGCATGAAAAGACAAAAGACCTGTTAGGAAAGAATAATGATCATTTAAGTCCCAATATTGCACCAAGGATTCTTAGATTTAATAAAACTATATAAAATCACACTGATTACCTGCCAGAATTCAGGCATCAAAATGTAGGGCTTTCTGGATAGCCCGGGTGGTCCCAACAAATCCATAGAATAACAGAACTGCATGCACCAAAGGCTGACCACTCAACAAAGTCCCAAGGAGTACACAAAGAGTAAACTCATTGCCATGGCATGGAGAAGCACAAAAACCTGATAATAAAAATATAATATCATAAACCCTACTAATTAAGCATTGGTTGTTAGCTAAATACAGCAACGAAAGATAATGTGGAGTTCTGCTTACTTACACTATCTTAATCCCTACTAAACCTTTGCCGTAATTGCAATGGTGATGACAAATTTAAGGCTGCAGATGAACTAAGAGGTAGTTTATTAGAGCGGGGGTACTCTAGAATGTGTTTGTGAAAGGCCTATAATAAAGCTTTGCAGCACTCCCATACGGATGTGTTGTTTAAAAATAAGATGAACAATCTTAAAGAACAACTGCTAAGAATTATTCCTTCTTATAACAACCAACACTCATTGGTACGTAAATATATTAGGAAATACTGGCATCTGCTAAACGTCTTACCCCAAGGTTTCTCAAATTGTCCCTACTGAACCATTAATTACATATCGTAGATTGCCTTTGTTAAAGGATAAAATAGTTTCTAGCACTTTTGTTCTAGACAGCCTAAAAAAACCTGGATTACCTAGGGGATTTTCCCTTGTGAAAAGTACAATTATTGTCAATTTATAGGCCCCAAAGGGAATTTGATATTGCCCAATGGTCAGACTTTTTATCCTAAGGATTTTGCTGACTGTCAAACCAAGGGAGTCATCTATTTGATGACTTGTCCCTGTGGGTCTTTCTATATTGGCAAGACCATTAGGGAATTATGGAGAAGGGTGAAGGAACACATCAATTCCGCAACTACAGGAAATTTATACTCTCCTCTTGGATGACATGTTGTGCAAGTACACAACTATCATATGCCCAATCTACGCTTCTGGGTTTTTCCCAATACCAAGGGCGGGGATTGGAATAAACTCATTCTCCAACATGAATTCCGTTGGATTCACAGACTTTGGACCACACAATGGCCTGGTTTGAATGATATTTTTGTGTTTCAGTCCATTTTTGGACAGCTTTATCTCAGGCAAATTTGAACATTTAATGTAATTTAAATTCAACCAAATTGATTAAACTTTGGACAATCTGATCTTTCCCCCCGTTTTTTTTCAAAATATGCAAACGTTGATTATATACACTATATTGCCAAAAGTATCGGGACACCCCTCGAAATCATTGGATTCAGGTGTTCCAATCACCTCCATGGCCACAGGTGTATAAAATTAAGCACCTAGGCATGCAGACTGCTTCTACAAACATTTGTGAAAGAATGGTTCGCTCTCAGGAGCTCAGTGAATTCAAGAGTGGTACCGTGATAGGTTGCCACCTTGGCAATAAGTCCATCCATGAAATTTTCTTGCTACTATATATGTCACGGTCAACTGTTAGTGGTACTATAACAAAGTGGAAGCAACTGGGAACAACAGCAACTCAGCCACAAAGGTTTGGAGGAACTTGACTGGCCTGCACAGAGTCCTGACCTCAACTCGATATAGAACACCTTTGGGATGAATTAGAGCGGAGACTGTGAGCCAGGCCTTCTCGTCCGACATCGGTGCCTAACCTCACAAATGCCCTTCTGGAAGAATGGTCAAACATTCCCATAGACACACTCCTAAACCTTGTGGGCAGCCTTCCCAGAGGAGTTGAAGTGGTTTTAGCTGTTAAGGGTGGGCCAACCCTACGGACTAAGACTGGGATGCCATTAAAGTTCATGTGCGCGCAAAGGCAGGCGTCCCAATACTTTTGGCAATATATGTATATATTGTTTCATTTAATATTTTGTTACTCCATATGTATCTTGTATGTGGGTGTTATTCACAGTGTTTGTAAGTGTAAACACTGATGCATGTTCCTTTAATTTTCACATGGGCCCCCTTTCGAGATCTGGCTGGGTGCACTCATGGTGATGGAAGCAGGCTGGATGTTCAGGCCGCACACATGGCAGCTCATGTCTGATTGGGTGGGCAGGGAGGACACAAGGGGTGGTTTCTCCTATAGGAGACCTCTCCTCTTTTGGTTACCCACATGGCTTTAATGAGTGAATTACCGAATGATTGTAATTGGCTGATCTGAAGCAGCTGCCCACTCTGCTTGGCCCTTATTAAGGAGTCAGTTTTTGGTGTATTCAATGCTGTCCTTGCCATGGATCGGTTTAGGACCATCAAAGCGGTCCAGAAACCCCTACACCCTGATGTTTGAACATTGGCAGGTACGTAAGCAGAACTCCACATGCTCTTTCCTTGCTGTATTTAGTTAATAACCCATGCTTAATGAGTAGGGTTTAGGATATCATATTTTTTATTATTAGGTTTTTGTGCTTCTCCATGCCATGGCAATGGGTTTACTCTTTGTGTACTCCTTGGGTCTCTGTTGAATGGTCAGCCTTTGGTGCATGCAGTACTGTTTTTGCTACGGACTTGTTGGGACCACCCAGGCTATCCAGAAAGCCCTACATTTTGATGCCTGAACTCTGGCAGGTAATTAGTGTGATTTTATACAGTTCTATTAAATCTAAGAATCATTCGTCCTATATTGGGGCTTTAATGATCATTATTCTTTCCTGCCAGGTCTTTTGTCTTTTCAGGCCATATTAATGGGTTCATCCTCCCTGCACTTCACCTGATTCCATTGGACATGCATATCTCGATTTGATTTTATATTGTATCTATTTTGGGAATGTAAAGTTTCCATTATGGTTTTAATGGCCATACTTTTATATTCAAGGTATATGTATTTATTTATCCATATGCACTTATGTTTCAGACCATATATTTTCCTTCTGATGAAGGCTCTAAGAGCTGAAACGAGTTGAGGTCTCAAATCTCCCTCTGACGATATTTTGCCAGATGGGACTCAACTAATCCAGTCAATACGTGATGAGATAAAATATAGATTGGTCTATACAGTTGTGTCCAAAATTATTCAACCCCCACTGAAATTGAGTGTTTTGGCCAGTTTGACATTGCTTTTGATCATTCAGTCATCTTGCTTACATTTACATTAAAGAGGCACTTGTAGGTCAGACAAATATAACATAACAGTTATAATGAAATAACCACAAATGTCTTTTCTGTGCTCACAGCATTATCAGTTTTATTCAACCCCCAAGTGACATTCAATCTTAGTACTTAGTACAGCATCCTTTTACAGTTATAACAGCTTTTAAACGTGAAGCATAGCTTGACACAAGTGTCTTGCAGCGATCTACGGGTATCTTCGCCCATTCTTCATGGGCAAAGGCCTCCAGTTCAGTCACATTCTTAGGCTTGCGCACTGCAACTGCTTTCTTTAAGTCCCACCAGAGGTTCTCAATCGGATTTAAGTCTGGTGACTGCGATGGCCACTCCAAAATGTTCCAGCCTTTCCTCTGCAACCATGCTCTAGTGGACTTGGAGGTATGCTTGGGATCATTGTCCTGTTGAAAGGTCCAACGTCTCCCAAGCCTCAGGTGTGTGACGGACTGCATCACGTTTCCATCCAATATCTCCTGGTACTGAAGAGAATTCATGGTACCTTGCACACGCTGAAGCTTCCCTGTACCTGCAGAAGCAAAACAGCCCCAAAGCATGATTGACCCTCCACCATGCTTCACAGTAGGCAAGGTGTTCTTTTCATCATAGGCCTTGTTCTTCCTCCTCCAAACATAGCGTTGATCCATGGGCCCAAACAGTTCTAATTTTGTTTCATCAGTCCACAGAACACTATCCCACAACTTTTGTGGTTTGTCCACATGGCTTTTGGCATACTGCAGTCGACTCTTCTTATTCTTTGGAGACAGCAAGGGGGTACGCCTGGGAGTTCTGGCACGGAGGCCTTCATTACGCAGTGTGCGTCTTATTGTCTGGGCTGAAACTTCTGTACCCACATCTGACAAATCTTTTCTCAGTTCCTCAGCAGTCACACGGGGACTTCTCTCCACTCTACGCTTCAGGTAGCGCACAGCAGTCGAAGTCAGCATCTTCTTTCTGCCACGACCAGGTAGCGTTTCAACAGTGCCCTTTGCCTTGAATTTGCGAATGATGCTTCCTAAGGTGTCTCTTGGTATGTTTAACATCTTTGCAATCTTCTTATAGCCATTGCCCTTCCTGTGAAGAGAAATCACCTCTTCTCTTGTCTTCCTGGACCATTCTCTTGCCTTCACCATGTTTGTAACCACACCAGTAAATGTCTAGAAGGAGCTGAGTATCACAGTCATTTTAAAGCTGCCTAATTGGTGCTTATTATGCTTGATTGCTGCTCGGTGACATCCACAGGTGTTTTCAATACCTGATGGAAAGCACCTGTATGAACCTCTGTTCTTCAGAGTGGTAGTCTTTAAGGGGTTGAATAATTGTGGCAATGAAGAAACCACATAAGAACCATTTACTACTGTATTACATAAACAATTGATGTCATTTTAGTTGCATTTGGGTAGTTACAACGTCCTTGTAGGATTTGATTCTGAATACAATTCCAAATGTACACTATAGTCCCTAAACCTTTACAGCATTGGGGGTTGAATAATTTTGGACACAACTGTATGTCTGTTATATATACACAATCTTTTTTTTAATGTCAATAAAAATACCAAACTTTTTTATTTCAATTGTGTTGCCCTTTGGTGCACAGAAAATCCCACCCTTTCTTTGTTTATGGTCAAGTGACCAGCATTATTTTGGACTAAGCTTCGAGCCAGTTCCCTGCATACATACAACATGTTTTTATCTCATCTCTGTATTTGTATAGCTGAGATACCATTGCTCAACCATATGGACATACTAAGCCATTCAAATCATCCTCCTTCCCAAAGCAGATTACACAATAATGTTCCTACCAAAGTCGGACACACTATAAATATTCCTGTTATTTTATAGCTAAATAAAGAACACCAACCTATTTACTCAGAGGAGTATACATCTGAATATCAGTATTAAAGTGGGACACACATCTGATCCAAATCTTGTGTTTTTGAATTGTTGGAGGGAACCAGAGATGTGTTAGAAGCCCATACCAATTTGGAAAAAAACATGTATACTCCATGCAGACAAACCCAAACTAAAAAGGACCCAGAATGGCAATAATACCAGATTCCATTGCTGAACAATGAAACACCATTTTACAATTCTATATACTCTTCTGAACAATTTGAAAGCATTCTTATTTATACTAGCAATAAAGCAGGTCCATAGTCTGATATATGTAAGCTTTTGCTATTTAGAGAACAACATTTAACAACAAGACCACTTACATTGATGTTGGCTATTTTGTCCCAATCATGGGAATCAGTTCTCTGTCCCAGCAACACATCCTCTTTAAGTTGGCTAAAAATAAAATTTAAAAAAAAGCAATGAATAAAAAGGAATTTGAAGTACTAAAGCCTCACATAAACATTGATTTTTTTTTTTGTTATTTATTTCAGGAGCTCTCTGACCTTTGCTGAAAACTCCTACTATGTACATCGGGTGCCTTACTCCTAGTTTCAAGAAAACAAAATCAAGGAAAGATATATTAAGTTTTGGTGTTGTGCCCACTCTGCTGTGTCATTTACAAAGCACAGCATAACATCATCATTGTGCTGTGCTTTGTGAGTGGGGGAGCAGAGTCAGGGGTCACAGGAACCAGAAATGGTGTCATTCATAGACACCATTCATATGAAGAAAGGAACCTGAAATGTGGCGTAATAAAAATTAAAAATGTTAATGTGAGTATTAATGATTTATGAAAAACAAAAATAGCTGTGCATGTAGCTGGGCTACATGCTAAAAAATATAGCAAAGGGTTACAATGAAATGCCTACTTTCCTTAACTGCAATGTAAAATATAAAATTAAATATTTAAAATATAAAGTGAAATATAAAATGAAATGTAAAATATAAAATGAAATGAAAACAGAACAAAAAATATATCAAAGTTGAAGCATTATCAAAATTGCAATAGGGAGGAAAAGATACACCTCCACCTTCACACCACTAAAACATATTTCACTGTAAGTCAGCCATTTAGGGTTCTGCTGCTCCATTTGATCATTCCTGTTGTTGGAAAGCCCACTGGAGAGGTCCCCACTATACATGGCTATGAAACCAGATGACATTATAAACTCAATAAGAGTGATTAAGCATGGCATATTGGGGGAAATAAGGCTTACTGTGCCATTAAAATGGCACAGGAAACTGATGCAAGTGGTGTGCCATGCATTAAAGTGAAAGACATATTTTACCTTAATGTATTCCCTGCATTAATGAAAAAAATGACCAAGTAGCTGTATCACCCCTCACCTACCTAAATACTTACCCGAGTTCTGTATCGATCCAGTGTTGTGCCCATCTGAAGCAGCACTTGTCCTCCCATTCTCACAGGCACAGAGACAACAATAGGAGCCATCGGCTCCTGCTGCTGTCATTCAAATCCAGTGAGGAGAGAACAGGAGGAAGGGGCCGAGCTACGCTGTGTGCGTCTTATGCATGCACACAGCCTGGCTTAAGAACAAGGCCGTAGGTGTGTCACCATAGAAAATGGCTTACTATGATGGCATACAGAGCCAAGAATGCCAGTGGAGGACCCTGGAAGGGAGGAGGTTCAGGGGCGCTTTCTGCAATATCACTGGGAAGGCAAGTATAACAAGTTTAATTAAAAAAAAAAAAAAACTTCCCAAAAACTTTCCATTTCAGAGTGAAAATGAAACTGCGGGTTCCATGCCTGGTTAACTGATGTGAATGTACAATATACATGTAATCACTGAGTAAATTGACGGTGCTATATAAGTACCTATAAAAAAGGGAACCTGACAGTTTTTAGTGTAGTAAACTGACGCAGCACTTTCCCAGACTGTACATAGCATATGGGATATGAACTGTCTTCCGGTAACCTGGCATCCAGCTCACATGCCTTTCACATCTTGCAGATCACATATAGTAGCTAAGCATAAAGGGGGCCAGCAGAGTGAGCTGGAGCAATTAGCTCCAGCTCTCCTGCTCTCTATGCTGTGTTTGGAGCTGATATGACATTGAAAATAGAGGAGATCACTCCTAATTAGCAAGGAGGCTTGTAACCCCTTTGATAATCAGGAGCAATATCCGCTTCATTTTCTAAGTTTAGAACAGTGATGCAGGCTTTATGCCTTTGCCACTCTTTGTTAACCCCCCCCCCCCCCAATGTATATAGATCTGAGGAATTCTATTTGGGTGAAAATGCTGACCAAGTGCAATGTCATCTAATTAATGTAGTTATGATCTGCGGATATTCCACTGCATCAGGCCTATTAAAGCTTTAGTTGTTCTTCAAAGTAACGGAAACATTTTAAATTCTTACTTGATATCGTCTATTTCACGCTCAGCTTCTTGAATCTGCTTTGCTAAAATTTTCTTCTCAATATCGCTCTTGGCACTAACTTGCTTCTGCTGTAGATATTCTACCCTGCAGAGAATCATTCCCAGTCAATTCTTACAAGGAATCCATTTTATACTTCAATATTTTTATTAAAAAATTGGTATACAGTAGAATACAAAAAAATATAGCAGCAATTGCCACTTACATGGTGAAATGGAGTGCACAATCATATTCATAGAACAGTTAAGCATATGAAAGAAAAACATTATTAGACATTGGTGATATGTAAAAAGAACACCATCTCCACCACGTAGCAAACTGCCCATTAATCAATGAACCCAGATAATGCAACAGAAATGCACCAAAAGTATACAAACAATTCAAGAGAAGAGAAAAAGGAAATAAGAAGACAGAAAACATAACAAAATGACAAAAAAAAAAAAGGGGGGGGAGGGGGAATACCAAAGGGGGAGAGGAGATAGGGAGGGTCAGCTGCAGTACTTTTAAGTTATAGAAATATAACTGATCCACGGTTGCCACGTCACCTCAAATCTAGAGACATCATTATTGACAACGCTTGTAAGTTTATCGTTTATCATTATCCAATTACGTTTTTGTTTAACCCCGTCTAGCGGGATCAGTGATTGTCTCCAACTTCTAGCTATGGTAATGCGTGCCGCCAGTAAGAGGTATAAAATTATTTTTAGTCGATTTTTTGGGAATGTCAGCTGGTAGCAAGGAATCCATTTTAAATTCAGAAAACCTACTAGCTGCTTAAACAGAAACATTTTTTAGTATGTGTCACTGAAAAAACAAAAAAAAAAAAAAAACAATATACAGCTCCAAACATGACCTGAGAGCATTTAAAATGGTATTAAACAACAAACCATAAATTGTACATACTGCAGCTTACTAATCATTAGATATTGTGGGTGCATTAACTGTCTTTTTCTCAGGTTTTTTTGACTTGGTGATCTGGCCAGTAACACACCTCCTGTATTATGCTGCCTACACTCTGGATGAATGAACAGCAAAGACAACGTTGGACAGCAGCATTGCCAGTCTGGGAAGAGGGTAGTGTTACATGTACCAACAGATGTAAATACACTAACAAATTGAAGCCAAACTCCAGCTAAAAGCCATACATCAACCAAAATTCGACCGGTTCAACAGGGACCAGCTGAATTTTGATCCCTGTATGGGCAAGGCTGGTTGCACAGGAGTCAACCTACTAATTGAGTTCAGTGCAAGCGGCCTGTTGGAAAATTTCTGCACAATCTCCCAGCAGTCAGAATACAATAGCTCAGCAGGAGTGATTCCCCTGTTCACTTCAAGTGTGTGGATGGGAAATTTTTTTTTCATTCAACAGGATATCACACCAATAAGGTAATAATTCCACTCTCTCATCCTATAGATAAGCTCCTGGTGTTAGCCTGATGACAATGCAATAGGGCCTTACTGGCTGGCAATAAAAGCCCTCCTTCTCTCAGCAGAAGTAAACTATAGGAAACTAATATAAAGTCAAATTTTGACACACACACACACACACACACACACACACACACACACACACACACACTTGCCAAAAGAATTGGGATACCCCTCCAAATCATCAGGTGTTCCAATCAGCTCCATGGACACAGGTGTATAAAATCAAGCACCTAGGTATGCAGACTGCTTCTACAAACAATTGTGAAAGAATGGGTCGCTCTCAGGAGCTCAGTGAATTCAAGTGTGGTACCGTGATAGGTTGCCACCTGTGCAATAAGTCCTTCCTTGAAATTTCCTTGCTACTAAATATTCCACGGTCAACTGTTAGTGGTATTATAACAAAGTGGAAGCAACTGGGAACAGCAGCAACTCAGCCATGAAGTGGTAGGCCACGTAAAATGACAGAGCACGGTCAGCGCATGCTGAAGCGCACAGTGTGTAAAAGTCGCAAACTGCCTGCAGGGTCAATAGCTAAAAGACCTCCAAACTTCGTGTGGCCTTCAGATTAGCACAACAGTGTGCAGAGAGCTTCATGGAATGGGTTTCTATAGCCGACCAGCTGCATCCAAGCCCTACAACACCAAGTGCAATAAAAATTGTCGGATGCAGTGATGTATACAACGCCGCCACTGGAATCTAGAGCAGTGGAGATGTGTTCTCTGGAGTGACAAATTACACTTCTTTGTCAGGCAATCCAATGGATGTGTCTGGGTTTGGCGGTTGTCAGAAAAACGGTACTTGCCTGACTGCATTGTGCCAAGTGTAAAGTTTGGTGGAGGGCGGATTATGGTGTGGGGTTGTTTTTCAGGGGTTGGGCTTGGCCCCTTAGTTCCAGTGAAGGGAACTCTTAAGGCGTCAGCATACCAAGACATTTTGGACAAATTCATGCTCCCAGTTTTGTCGGAACAGTTTCGGAATGGCCCCTTCCTGTTCAAACATGACTGCACACCAGTATACAAAGCAAGGTCCATAAAGACATGGATGAGTGAGTTTGGGGTGGAGGAACTTGACTAGCCTGTGCAGAGTCCTCACCTCAACCCGATAGAACAGCTTTGAGATGAATTAGAGCGGAGACCACAAGCCAGGCCTTCTCGTCTGACATCAGTGCCTGACCTCACAAATGCGCTTCTGGAAGAATGGTCAAACATTCCCATAGACACACTCTTAAACCTTGTGGACAGCCTTCTCAGAAGAGTTGAAGCTGCCTAATCTGCAAAGGGTGGGCCAACTCAATATTGAACCCTACAGACTAAGACTGGGATGCCATTAAAGTTCATGTGCATGTAAAGACAGGCATCCCAATACTTTTGTGTAATATATATATATATATATATATATATATATATATATATATACACACACACACACACACACACACATACATACACACACAGTAATATATACATACATGCGTTTAGTTTAAAAGGTCTAGTCTGTTACAGTGAGGAACAGAAGTATTTGAACACCCTGCAAGTTCTCCCACTTAGAAATCATGGAGGGGTCTGAAATTCACATTGTAGGTGCATTCCCACTCAGAGAGACAGAATTTAAAAAAAAATTCAGGATATCACATTGTATGATTTTTAAAGAATTTATTTGTCTTGCACTGCTGAACATAAGTATTTGAACACCTGAGAAAATCAGTGTTAATATTTGGTACAGAAGCCTTTGTTTGCAATTACAGAGCCTTTGTTTGCAATTACAACGTTTCCTGTAGTTCTTGACAGGGATTTTGGCCCAATCCTCCACACAGATCTCCTCTAGATCTGTCAGGTTTTGGGGCTGTTGCTGAGCAACACAGAGTTTCAGCTCCCTCCAAAGATGTTCTATTGGATTTAGGTCTGGAGACTGGCTAGGCCACTCCAGAGTCTTGATATGCTTCTTACGGAGCCACTCCTTGGTTATCCTGGCTGTGTGCTTTGGGTCGTTGTCATGTTGGAAGACCCAGCCACGACCCATCTTCAATGCTCTGACTGACGGAAGGAGGTTGTTGCTCAAAATCTCACAATAAATGGCCTCATTCATCATCTCCTTAATACAGTGCAGTTGTCCTGTCCGCTTCGCAGAAAAGCACCCCCAAAGCATGATGTTACCACCCCCATGCTTCACAGTAGGGATGGTGTTCTTGGGATGCAACTCATCCTTCTTTTTCCTCCAAACACGACGAGTGAAGTTTAGACCAAAAAGTTCTACTTTGGTCTCATCTGACCACATGACTTTCTCCCATGCCTCCTCTGGATCATCCAGATGGTCATTGGCAAGCTTCAGACGGGCCTGGACATGTGATGACTTGAGCAGGGGAACCTTCCGTGCAATGCATGATTTGAAACCATGACGGCGTAGTGTTATACCGACAGTGACCTTTGAAACTGTGGTCCCAGCTCTCTTCATGTCATTGACCAGCTTCCTCCCTTGTAGTTCTGGGCTGATTCCTCACCTTTCTTATCATCAGTGATACCCCACGAGGTGAGATCTTGCATGGAGCCCCAGTCCGAGGGAGCTGAGAGTCGTCTTTAGCCTCTTCCATTTTCTAACAATTGCTCTAACAGTTGATCTATTTTCACCAAGCTGCTTGGCAATTGCCCCGTAGCCCTTTCCAGCCTTGTGGAGGTCCACAATTTTGTCTCTGGTGTCTTTTGAAAGCTCTTTGGTCTTGCCCATGGTAGTAGTTGGCGTCTGACTGACTGTGGGGTGGACAGGTGTCTTTAAAGAGCTCAGACAGGTGCTACTAAGTTAGATTAATGAGTGGAGTAGAGGTGGACTTTTTAAAGGCACAGTAACAGGTCTTTGAGAGCCAGAATTCTTGCTGTTTCTTAGGTGTTCAAATACTTATGTTCAGCAGTGCAAGACAAATAAATCCTTTAAAAATCATACAATGTGATTTCCTGAATTTTTTTTTAAATTCTGTCTCTCAGAGTGGGAATGCACCTACAATGTGAATTTCAGACCCCTCCATGATTTCTAAGTGGGAGAACTTGCAAAATCGCAGGGTGTTCAAATACTTTTGTTCCTCACTGTATGGGCAGGAGATATTTCCCAAGAGATCTGCTGAGATGTAGAGCCATAGGGAATAAGTATACAAATAATAAATTGCATAGAAAGATCACTTTATTCACCTGTTACACACTTTACTTTGATATTTCAGTTTTTGCAAATAGAGAAAGGATAAACCACCTAGACTTTTACACCATGAAAACTGCTCTAAATAGGCAGAAATACAATACAATTATAATGCACTTGTTGCAAAACTTACTTAAGAATTTTGGGCTGCAGCATCCTCTGTAATTTATCACTGAAAATTGCTTTTCTCATTTCCAAAGTATCTGAGGGCTTCCCTGCAATACATGACACAAATGTTTATCAATGAAAAAAGTGCTTGTTAAGTTTCCAGTTAAGCCTCATGCACACTGCAGCTCAGAGAAATTTCTCCTACAGGAGTATGAGCTGTTTTTGAGCTTTAATTTTTCTTTGCCTGTTAACTCACTTCCATGTTAGCCTATGTGTCCATGCACACCATAGGTGTTTACAGGTTAGTGGGAGGAAGTAGACAGGCAGAAAAAAAAAAAAAATTCTGGTGCATTCAGGAACGGAGCTTTGGGGAATAAAAAACACTCAAAAGTAAAAAAAAAAAAAAAAAAGTGAATTGGAGCACATTAAACGAGAGTTTCCACATTAATGCATTCTAATGGCCAGAATTCTGGCCAACAGAATGCATTAATGCCAGACACAGGAATGTGTGTTAACACGCATGGAAGCACATTAACCGCTTGTGGACCCGCCACAGTACATCTCTGAGACAGGTCGGCTCATACAGGCACAATCACATACTACACAATCACGTACACCGCGGGTTTCTTCCGGGTCAACACGTGCTTGGCCTGTGAAGACTGTACTGTCATTTGCTGCAGCACAAGCTGAACAGCGGGTTGCAGCCAATGATTTATGGCTAGGACTCACTGATCGGCTCAGCGAATGACAGAAGAGTGCTCTGTGTAGGTAAGCAATACAGAGCTCTCTTCAGATAGTATCAATGTGCCATTTTTTTTTCTCCCTGCAAAGCAGAGAATAAACACCAAAACATTGCTTAGTAAAACATCACAAGGTAAAGACACTAAGCATTGTTAGGCAAACATTTAACCCCTTAATTGCCCTAGATGTTAACCCCTTCTCAGCCAGTGCCATTAGTACAGAGACCATGTATATTTTTAGCACTGATCACTATATTAGTGTCACTGGAGATATCAGTGGCAGTTAATCAGTTCCCCCCAGCACCAGTTAATGTCAGACTGCCCCCCGCACTAACGGTTTCCCACTATAAGTTACTAATGGCCTCCATTACTAGTATAAAACAAATATTCCAGTATATATACACCATAGTTTGTAGACGCTATAACTTTCACACAAACCAATCATTATACACTTATTGAGATTTCTTTTACCAAAGACAAGTAGCAGAATATATTTTGACCAAAAATGTATGAGGAAATTATATTTTTTAAACATTTTTTTTATTGGACATGTTTTATAGCAGAAAATAGAAAATATATTTTTTTCATTTACATCACAAAAAATAAAAAACCCACTGGTGATCAAATACCAACAAAAGAAAGCTCTATCTGTGTGAAAAAGTTATATAAGTTTTGTTTGTATACAGCATTACATGACCGTGCAATCACCAATTAAAGTAGCGCAGTGCCGAACTGCAAAAAACATTCTGGTCATGAAGGGGTAAAATCTTCCAGAGCTAAAATGGTTAACATGCATGCAAAAGGTGGATTTTTACCAGGCTTTTGATTCTGAAAAGTCATGTAGAGAAAAAAATGTTTTTTGTGCTTTACAGTGTGCATGGATCTGAGAGTTTAAATAGTTAGAACCCGTTAGGTTCTTTTTAGCAGATTCCCCTATATTTTTTGTCCTGGAGACACAACATGAAACAAGCAGAAATTGGTGAGAAATCCCCTTTTATTGACAGCTATCACTGGAACAGATGTCCACATTAGAAGATTTCTCCATCCTTTTGATCCAGTAACCACTGTAAAATTTTGAATTTCCCATCACTATCTGTGCTTCGGACAATGGCCAACAGGACTAATAAAGAGGGAGAATCCCTAAAATGAAACTTAAAAATAGAAAAGTAAAATGACTCAAGACAGGAGGGGGGAGAGAGAGAGAGAGAGAGATTAAAAAAGAAAAAAAGAGGCAGAAAAAAAAAGGGAGAATGGATGAAAGGCAGACAGATGGAAAGAGTGAGACAGACAAAAAGTGAAAGTATAGGAAAGAATGGAAGTAAGAATAAAGCTGGCCGTACATATATAGATTTTTTTTTTTCATCTGACTGCGGGTTGAAAGAGAAAAAAAAATTGAACAGATTCCTACATCCACACTAAATGGTGCAGATCAACAAATCTCCCACAGTAGCTATGGCATTCTGACAACCAGTGCTGCAGGCTGTAAAAATACCTGAATATCTGAGTGCAGTGCTGCTCAACTGAAAGTTTTCCGCCCAGCTCCTTTGATTTTTCATTCTGGATGTTGAGCAGGAGGGTGCCAACAGGGATGCTCACAGAGCGAGTTCCAGCCTGTTCATCAGGAACTGGCTGGAGTTTGCTCCATGTATAACCAGCTTTAGAGGAGAGAGGGAGGGAAAGAGTAGCTGAATTCAGTTACTTACAATTCCTGTGGGTCAGTTCTTGAAATGTTTTTACAATATGGGCACTTCTTTCTCTCATCTCTTGATTGGCTGGAGGCCCCTGGAAGGAAAGTTAAAGTAAAGTAATTCCATATTTACAGATCTTACACATATTTAATCAGATCACACCACACACTTTATTTGAGCCAGCCATACCCAACACCTCACATTCTGATATTGGCAGTAGTATCCCAGCTAATGCAAGTTGGTTGGTGAAAAATGAAAAATACCTACCACTCCAGTGACTTTATCCTTAAAGTATGGTTTCATGAAATGGCCCAAAGCAAGATTTAATGGGTAGGGTTTGGTGGTTCCAGCCCTTTGGGTCTTTCGGCCAGCGAGTTCCCACATTAGTTCCTCCTGAAATTGCAAGATTGATTTTCACATCTGTTATTTGCAAATGTTTTATTCAAAATTATTAACAGCAATACTTTTAAAATGGTAAAATTCTTGCTTCTGTAAAAGAATATAGACAGACAGGAGCCTTATGGAGAACAATAAGATAAAAGTCTCTCAACGCAGAGGGTGAGATTTATGTGTCCATTCTGGGCGATCAGTGAGACATAAGGGTAGATTTACTAAAACTGGTGCAGTTTTGCACGATAGCCAATCAGATTCTAATTTCAGCTTGTTCATTTAGGCTTTGACAAGAAAACCTGGAATATGACTGGTTTCTATTAAGAGCTGCACCAGATTTTGCACCATGCGGTTTTAGTAAATAACCCCCATAGTATTTGCTGCGCTTAAAAAGCTTCCTTGCCTTTTTTTTCATAGAAATATATACTTTTTTCCAGTGGTTACCAGAACTTGCTGTTGCTCCAAGCTAAAAGTGTAGAGCACCTATAGATTGCTGATAACCAGTGGTAGTCAGCTTTCTTGATAGAGGAGGCCTCAAGTGCGGCTCCCAACATCACCAAAAGGGCCGCACATACAATTCAGTGTCAGACAGCAGTCACATAATAGGATATAGTCAGAGACCACGGGTATGATACCAGAGATGGTCAGAGCCCGCAGACATGATACAAGAGATGGTCAGAGCCCGCAGACATGATACAAGAGATGGTCAGAGCCCGCAGACATGATACAAGAGATGGTCAGAGCCCGCAGACATGATACAAGAGATGGTCAGAGCCCGCAGACATGATACAAGAGATGGTCAGAGCCCGCAGACATGATACAAGAGATGGTCAGAGCCCGCAGACATGATACAAGAGATGGTCAGAGCCCGCAGACATGATACAAGAGATGGTCAGAGCCCGCAGACATGATACAAGAGATGGTCAGAGCCCGCAGACATGATACAAGAGATGGTCAGAGCCCGCAGACATGATACAAGAGATGGTCAGAGCCCGCAGACATGATAGCCCGCAATGATACAAGAGATGGTCAAAGCCCGCAGACATGATGCAAGAGATGGTCAAAGCCTGCAGACATGATACAAGAGATGGTAGGAGACCGCAAACATTATACAAAAGATGGTTAGAGACCACAGACATGATATAAAAGATGGTCATCGATGTCTATCACAGACATGATACAAAAGATGGTCAGAGACTGCAGACATGCTGCAGGAGAAGGTCAGATTAGTGCCTGCAGGGTTCTCATAGGCTGCACAACAAGTTCCAAAGGTCACGGGTTGGGGATCAGGGTGATAGACAAAGGGGAAATGAAGGAAATTCACTTTGCCCTTGCAAAACTAACCAGCCTTTCTTTAGATCTGCCAGACAGCAGTTTGTACCAGATTCCCTAAAAGGATGCGGTCACAAAATACAATGCTTCCACTCAAGGCTTCATTGTAGCAGCAACCGGATGGGAAACTGGACATGCAGAGGCAGCTGGCAACCACTACTCTGTTGATTGGCTTATAGCTCATCATCACAGCGAATCATTTAGTGGAATACGAGATTGTTAGTTTTCAGAAATGATAATTGGGTGATGTGACCATGTTACATGTTGAACATCAGAGTAGCCTTAATGCTTTACAGCGCCCGAGGTCCAAGACCAACAAGGGCATTGCATTGTACGTTCTTCCTGATTCTGTTTTTGTTTATCACAAACCACATTAATATTTCTGATTTAAATTTGTGTCTGAACAAACTGGCCCCAATGTTAGTCTATATGGCTGTAGGTGGTCATTGGGCTATATGCTCCTTCAGATCCAGAGACTGACGGTGTTCCACATACTCTGTAAAGTGCTTTAAATTAAACAAAAAAAACAAGTTCCATAAAACAACCCTCTGACGTCACCAATGTCCCCACAATACCTGCTGCTCCTTATTCTGAGCAATTAACAATTCCAGTTCTTGCAGTTTCTCCTCTATTACTGCTTGGTACACAAGGTTCATCTGCAAGCACATCTCTGCCGAGTTCCCGCCATCTTCCCAGATGACATCATCCTAAGAGGAGTAGGAAAATTTAATAGATTCAAAGGAAGATAGAATAGGCTAGCAGAGTACGAAGTGAATTATTGCTGATCTAAAACACACATTCACCTGATAACATGGAACAGCACATGGCACAATGTAAACAATTATTCTTACATTATTATAACCAAGCAAATTTATTTATAAAGATTCATATCTTCCCCTAAATTGAGCTTTACTGATTTCATCTGACTCTTCCATTTGACAGCCAAAGTGAGAATGTCATTTAAAGGCTGACAGCTGTTGCCCTGTCAACTGCCTCCCTGCACCTAGGAGTGCATACCACTGTCAAATTAAAGAACAATGAGTGTGAAGTCAGGGATATGATAAAAGCAGCAATAGTGAGACTCTAGGTGACCTCTGACCCAAACTAAAGAGAAAAATTCAAAGCAAGTACAGTTAATTATAAAGACAAATCTAAAAACTTTACAAATATGTATTTCTGGGTCTGATTAAATATAAAGAATAGATGGATTAGAATCTGCAGACTTTTTTTCTTGCTTCCTGTGTCCCAGGAGTATCTGGGGTGGTACATCCTGGCCAGTCCCCAAGCAGGAGGCTTGGCATGGGCTCAGGACAGCGTTTAAGAGTGAAATAGCCTGCTCAGTGACAGGAGAGTTCGGGTAGAAGATGAATTAGTGAGAGGCTGGAGAATAGGAGCCTGGGAGGGGGCCCAGATGGGAAGAGGCTCACCTACAGGCAGTGGAGTTGGAATAGGAGAAAAGCTCAGGACTTCATCGGCCCCCAGAGCGAGAACCATCTATGGAGCAGGGAAAGAGCGCCCCACAGAAGGCCTGAGAGTAGCCACGAACGCACCATCTCGCAGACCAAGGACTGAGTGAGTAGACTTGCACCCCCTGGGTCAGTAAGGGGAAGGGGCACTCTAGTGGGAAACTGGATTAGGTGCTACCCGGGACTGCCTTATTTTTAAAGTGACAGACACTGGATCTCCTGCCCAGGGATTCACCCTGAACAGCTGGATAAAGAAGTATCTGGGTTGGTACATCAGGAGATGCTGGCTAGCTCTCCAGAAGATAATGTTTGCTGTAAAAGAGACTTGTTCTCAGTTGCCATTTCCCTTGGGCATCCCATACATCCCTCACCCCATCCAAGTTTAAATTCTCTTAATAAAAAAAAAAAAATAAGCTCAAGGACTGGTTATTGTCTCCTGGATGCAAGTCGGAATGGAAAATGCATGTTGCCTGGCTGTGCAGGACTATAGGGGGACCCAAATTTTCAGCAACTGCTACAGGTGTAGTGCTACAATAGCTTTAGACACCTCAGGAGGACTAATAAATAAAAGAATACATGCTATAATTTTAGGAGGGGTATTTGTCCTGTGTTTCCATCCAGTAATTAAAAAAAAAAAAAAAACACCACTTCCAGCAGCCACCTTTAAGCCAATATTTGTCTACTTGGCAGCTAACACACAATATTAGGCATAGAAATGTTAAATCAACATCACATGTATTTTCCTGTTTAGCCATGGCAATTCCTGAATACATATTTTTATTATATATACTGTTCATGTATCAATTAATTTATTTATCAAATACATATAATGTCCTACAATTAGGATACCAATTAAAAACACTCAGTAGGAAAAAAAATAAACAGCTTACTGCCTGACAATCACCATCCAATTGTTCTTCAAGATCATCTGCAAAAAAAAAAAATGAATAAAATACAGGTAATGCATTCCTGTGAAAATAAAGTCAACTGCGCCCTCAAAATCCAAGTAAGTAATATAGGTGAAGCTGTCTGTGCCCCCAATTTGGACACTAGTTCTGGTGAAAGAAAAAGTAAAACTGATTTGGGGGTGACCTGAGGGGTCCCCAGGGGATTCCTTTAATTTGCAGGGATTTCCTCTCAATTCCGGTTTGGCTATGGGGCAGGAATTGAAGGGAAATCTTTAAAAAAAAAACAAAAAAAACAGACACAGGTTATAACCCTCCCTTGCCCTATCCATAAAAAAAAAAAAGTTTTACCTATAGTTCTACTTTAACACAATACTAAAAAGGACAGAAAAGAAAGTAACGGAGAATAATTCGGGAAAATTACAACTGTCATTAGAACAAGAGGTGAAAAAGGGAGACTCACTCTGGTGACAACAGTCGAAGGTGGAATTTTGGAAAGATTTCATCTAACTTCTCAGTACCTTTCTTGTTCAGTACCTTTCAGCTATGGGGTCATGTGTTTGAATCCCACAAGTGCAGGGCGCGATAAGATATTATATGCATGGAGTTTGCAGGTTTTTACTGTGTTTTTTTCATTTGACGTTCTGCCTCCCACAATTAAAGGATAAGTTCATAAGTTCCACCCCGTATCCAAGGTGGAACAAGTTCCCACTCCTGCCTCCTTCTCCTCCTGAGCCCAAGTCCATCCCCACCATCTGAAAACGCAGACCGTGACAGCGGGCAGGGATCCTCTCCTGTACCCGCTGTCAGAATTTTAAAAACAGCGAGACTATGTGACAGCGGGGGTCTACGCCCACATGGCCGCCCACATCATCATTCATTCATTTGCCCTATGTGAGGGGTCCTTTCCAGGGTTCAACAGGCAGACATATTGCTTAGGGAAATTTCTGACCATGCTCCTGTATTACTGCAGATTTCACTGTCCCAAAACTCCCAGGACAAATTGTGGAGACTTATCAGATTTTGGATTTCTGATCCTCAGGTAGATCTTGGCTTTCAACAGCAGCTAGACACAATGGAGCATCAACCCCGACACAGCGGTGCCTTTTAAGCTTTTAGTAGAGGACAATATCAAACGCTTATACATCAGGTTCCTAGAGATTTAAAAGCTGACTTAACTGTGGTGAAGGCTGAAGCCTCTAGCCTGGAGCAACAATACATTCTGACTAAAGACCTTCAGGTATATAGTAGACTGCAGGGATTGACTAGGAAGGTTCTCCCTTTACATAGTTCCTAAATAAAAAAGAAGCTGCTCCAGCAGTCCTGAAGGATTTTTGAACAAGGTGAACAAAATGGTAGGCTTTTAGCTTGGCTTGCCTTGCCTGTGAACAATCCCCTGCTATGAGTGTCTCACGCATAGTCGCCCCCTCTGGGGAGGTTCTGACAGTGTAAGGATATTACAGACTGCTCTGCTTCCTTTTATGAAGGCCTGTATGCTTCAAAAGGTTGCGTATTCTCCTGATGAACTTAGTTCCTACCTCTCAGAGATAAACTTCCTAATATTGACTTCCACTCATAGGGATTGTTTGGACTCCCCCATTGCATTGAAGGAAGTCCAACTGGCTATTTCCTCCCTCCAAGCCGGGAAAACCCCTTGCCCGAACAGGTAACCCAATGAATCCTATAAAACATATGTGGATGAGTTAGCATCCTGTTTTCATGCTATGCTTGAGAACTCATTATGGACTGGGTCCCTTCCTCCTACAATGTCAGACAGTGATAGTAGTGGTGCTTAAGACAGATAAGGACCCAGAACGCTGTCCATCTTACAGTCCCATTTCGTTGCTGAACGTGGACATAAGCTGCTTACAAAGATTCTGACTCACCTTTTGCATCCAGATCAGTCTGGGTTTATGCTGGGAAAAGGCATCGAAGTTAACATTAGGCGACTGTTCACAGATATTTCTATAGCAACTGAAGGCTCTCCAGGGGTGGTCGCCTCTCTTGATGCTGAAAAAGTGTTTGCTTCAGTAGTGTGGGATTACTTATGGAGGGTGCTAGAGTGTTTTGGGGTCGGTCCTAATTTTATTGCGTGGCTGAAACAACTGTACCACAACCCAATTGCTAGAGTGCGGTTTAATGGGGTGCTGTCTGCCCCTTCACCCTACATCGAGGGACGAGACAAAATTGCACGCTCTCCCCAGGCCTTTTTTTGCCCTGGCTTTGGAAACTCTGGCGATCCTCCTCTGCCAGGACCCCAGGGTGAAGGGAATTCTGGTTGGACCATTGCATTAAAAGATTTCCCTCTATACAGATGATTTCTATTGTTCCTACATGATGCGGACTCCTCCTTACGCACTGCGTTGGACATCATAGATCTGTTTGGTCACTATTCTGGCACCTGCGTCAACTGGGAAAAATCAGTTCTCTTTTTCCCTTCATCTTTGGGACTCGGGAGGAGAGACACACATGCCCCCACAGTGGGTAAAATAGTTTGTACAATATACCTGGGTGTGAAGATTCGGGGTAGACTGGTGGCCTACTTAGAAGACAATATTACTCCTTTGCTTTCCCAATTTACCGCAAAAGTCATGCCTGGCGTAGTTTACCTTTGACGCCAGTGGGCAGAGTGAATTTGTTGAAAATGGTCTATGTACTGAAATTCCTCTGTTTTTTTTTTTAGAAACACTCCGATGCCCATACCTAGGGCTTTCTTTGGGAAGCTGGACAGAAGGGTGGTTTCCTTTGTATATGCTGGGAAGATTCCCAGATTGGCACAGAATACACTTCAAATGCCCCACTCTCAAGGGGGTCTGGCCCTGCCAAAATTTTTTACTACTGGGCAGCTGTACTAGTTATGGTTCATTGGTAGTTCAGTTAACCTAAACACAATCCAGCAATTACCATGGAAGCTGCTCTACTGGAGTTCTATGTCACATTGACTAACTTGGTCTATCGCACACCCAGGGCCGACCCCTTGGTTATGGAACTGATGTGTTCCACTCTCAGAGTTGGGGGTGCAGGCTTATAGTGAGAGGTTTATAGGGAGGACGCTAAATACTACCCCACATCCCCCTCTGGGGTAATCCACAGCTACAACACCTTTCACACCTTCCAGATCCCCAGATTTGGGCATCCAGAGGTGTATTGACTCTAAAGCATGTCATCACAGATGGGAGACTCTCTTCCTTCTCAGTCATGCGTGAGAAATCTGCATTATTGGCCTCTATGTATTTCAGGTACCTACAACTGAGACACGCTGTTAGGGCCCAATTTCCAAAACCAGTTCTATTGAAA